ATCCATGAGTATTGGAAATATACATCATACGTATGTGCCGCCTCAGATATTTCAAATGACAAAAATCTTTCGAATTTTCTGTGAAAAAATATACCTTCACTCACATATTTCTTCATTTTTCTCTCTTTATCTTTTAAAAAAGGGACGGTCCTTTTCAATATGGGACGTATGGTCACGTTAGCTATACTTCGTTATACTTGCAGCTTCCGGAACAAGTATTCTCCTGCTACCGATTATGATCTAGTGGTTCTCACTAAAAGAATTCCCTAGCGATTCTACTAACTAGTGGTGGAAACTTTCAAATAAAACAGTAATTACTCCACGAATTGGAATCCTCATGTAGTAGTATTAGTTAGTGGTGGTGGCACTTTTTGCCGACAAATTATTGAACTGATTATTGAATCAACCAGTTCCAGCAATGCGGTGTACCTATGTTGATCTTACACCGATCTGGTGCGTACTATGGACACCAGAACATCCATGGATCGAGACTACCAAGACCACTTTTAAACTAAGAACCGATTGCACATCGTGCCCGCACATTATGTCACGTGACGTCCGTTCAACCTCAGATAGTCTTGACCAGTCTCTCAATACGCCGCCACTACGTTCCCCGTCTACGACGGTGTTTGTCGCCATGTCACTCAGTAAGTCCGCTGATTGTGAAGTACGCTATAAATGCTAAGAGCTTCTAATAACACTGTTAAGCGCTATGCAAAACCACCGTCGGAGCCTGCTCTCTAGAGGACTCAATTTGCTCCATGACAACTCTCGGCTTCACGTTCGGCAAGAACTACGCTACGCCTTTTGTTTATAAACAGGAGGAAATAGTGGTGTGATTCATGCAAAATAGCTGTCTAGTGGTGTGCAAATTTAGGCACTAGCTCAATAAAGTGGAGAGTGGGGAGGGGTTAAGAGCGCCAGTGACTCAAGACGGATTAAGCCACAACCCCGAGATGTTAGTCGGAAGCTGTTTTGCTTAACCACCCACACAAAAAAAAGAATCTAACAGCAATGACGTAACCTAATTAAAAATCACAATATATTAACTGATTAAATAACACATATGTTACACATCTGCGGTGCAAGTTAAAAAAGGGATATTATTTAAAACTGCCGCTCAATAAAATTATTAATATTAGTTTTGTTGCCATCCTCATTTGTTATTGTTAACAACCATAGCAACGCTACTCAGATATTATCCAAAGCAACATGATTATTATGTCATAAAAGCGTTTTATCATCATGGTACAAATAATGCATTGGAACTTTTAACAACAAATATCTCGAAAACTATTAGCTTTAAACACTTCAAACAGGTAAACCTTTATTGTTATGGAAATACGAGAAAATAATAATTTTCGGTCAGTTGTTGTATACCGACAGGGTAGCACAAAAAAGTTATGATAAGTTATTTACCGAAATAGTGCTGTCAGTGGCGCCCTCTAGAAGTTTGGCTATAAAAAATACCGAGTTTCATGCCAAAATATGACAAACTTCTCAAGCAATAAGGAAAATAGAAAATAAAATTGTAACTTTGACACCCTGTATCTCGCAAGCTATTAACTTTTGGACTGAGGTATCGTTAGGTCAATTCACATATTTTGGTTTGTAGTATCTCCATTTTCGAGATTTCCCAACCTTTCGCAGTATAAATATCTATTAAAGAATTAATTGAAATGATATTTTATCTGTTCACATCAGGTTTTTTTTCTCAATGGAAAGGGCTCTAGTAAAATCGGGTAAAAATGCCTTCCCGTGCTGAACAGGTTTAAGTCCCAAAATGGAGGGGGGTAGCACCCAAACCAAAACAACTAAACGTAAGGTAGATACTAGAAAAGGTGCTACTCCAAAGACTGGTAATTGGGCCCAAATATCCCAAAATCTGGAAATCAAACAAGGACCGATACACCATCACCTCACCAGGAAAAATTACTGAAACACACAATTTTCATGAAAATTTCCGTAGCCGAACCTACCCAAAGAACATCACTGATTGCCTATGGGCAGACCTCAGGACCGTATTATTTCTCAAAATAATGTGTTGGTAAAGGGATCTACGAGGGACCAATGATATTTTATGATGAAGTTTCTGCGGTAGTCGTTAATAAAATATTATAGCTTTAGTGTCCAAAAGACTTCAACACAATACACGCTAAGAAAGAAATATATAATATGTGCGAAATCATACTTACGGGATTAGGTAGTTTCGAGCTCAATTGATCAATAAATTATGAAATTCGCCAAAAGAAAATCATTGAAAACAGTTAGTCCTAGGAATCGGCACTCATCATTAATAAAGAGAGATTAAAATTACTGGTAGGTGATTAAAATAGTAAAAAAAAGAGTACGTGATTTTGGCACGTTGCAACTAGTGGTGGCGGATATTTCACAACCTGATTTTTAGTAGCTGATATTTCTGAATCACGACTGTTACCAAAAACCTGAAAAAGCGTAACGTGATCACGACTTCAGAAACCAGTTGCTTCACGACAACGGGAATGGCTTCATAGGCGTTAACGTTTGAATGTGCGTAAAATACGCATGCTCGGTAGCCGCTAAGGCCGCACACCACCGTGGCCTGCAAGCGATATCGTGCCTTCTAGGCTTTGGTAATGGGTGGATTTTTTGCTAGTATCTTTTGGGCAACACTGTTTTTGACAGATGACGCGTGAATCGTGTCTTGTGTCATTGTCAAACTTGTTCAGTTTGGTCTATAATTTAACCATGAATCGACTTACGAACGAACAACGCTTGCAAATTATTGAATTTTACTATCAAAATTCATGCTCGCTGCTTCCAATTTATGGGCAATTTGGTCGGCCTACTGAGGGAGCTAAACGGAAGCTTGTGACTAAATTTCGAACCCAGTTTACATTATTGGACATCAAATCACCAACACGCAGACGTAGAGTGAGGACTGAAGAAAATATTGCGGCTGTATCCGCCAGTGTTAGTGATGGCCGTGAAATGTCGATTCGCCGCCGTTTCGCAGCAATTGTTACTCCACTACGTGGAAAATTTTGCGACAGGATTTGGGTGTAAAACCTTATAAGATACAGCTGGTGCAAGAATTAAAGCCACACAACGTTTCCAATTTGGTGAATGGGCGCTGGCAAAGTTGCAGGATGATCCACATTTTTATCGAAAAATTGTGTTCAGCGACGAAGCTCATTTCTGGTTGAATGGGTACGTTAACAAGCAAAATTGCCGCATCTGGAGTGAAGACCAGCCAGAAGCATTGCAATAGCTACCAATGCATCCCGAAAAAATCACTTTTTGGTGTGGATTATGGGCCGGTGGCATCATCGGGCCGTACTTCTTCAAAGACGACAATGGCCGGAACGTAACTGTGAATGGCGAGCGCTACCGTGCGATGATAACAAACTTTTTTTGCCCAAAATGGAAGAGCTGGACTTGGCTGACATGTGGTTTCAACAAGACGGTGCCACATGCCACACCGCACAAGAAACAATGGCCCTATTGAAAGGCGAGTTCGGTGAACAGTTTATCTCACGTTTGGGGCCCCTCAATTGGCCGCCTAGATCGTGTGATTTAACGCCGTTTGACTATTTCTTGTGGGGCCATGTTAAGGCTAATGTCTACAGGGATAAACCAGCAACGATTGACGCACTGGAAGCCAATATTGAAGCATTTATTCGTGAGATACCGGCCGATATGTTGGAGAGAGTGTGCCAAAATTGGACCTTGCGCATGGCCCATCTAAAGCGGAGCCGCGGCCAACATTTACATGAAATAATCTTTAAACATTAAATTATATCGACCGTTCTATCGACTCAAATAAAGATTTAATCGTTTTTTCCAATTTTTTGTGTTTTTTTGAAAATCAAATCTTATACCTCTTAAAAAATCACCCGTTAGTTGGCGCTCGCGGTATTTTTCCAAGGATATCAGTATACCCATAATCTCAGCGTTATTCGAAAATCGTGATCACGTCACTGTTTTAAATCACTGTTACCAGAAAGTTACGATGTCAAATATCACATACATATATTGAAAAATAATTATATCGTCCATCTCTAGCAACAACCAGATGTAACTGAACAAATTTCGTTGGGAATTACTGGACCATCCACCACAGAGGCCTGATTTAGCAGCATCAGACTTCCATCTTTGTCAAACCTTCAAGACATGTTAAAAGAAACAGTTAGGTGGTTTAACGGTCAGGCAGCACCGCTTTTTGACGACGGGATCCATAAGCTACTGCCACAAATTGACACATCTTTGAAGGTTGATGGTGAAAAATAAAAAAACTGTTCATATTTGAGTTGGTGGTACAAATTAGGTTCATAAATAAAGTTTCTCAAACTCTACAACAAAACGATTCTTACTTCAAGTAAGTTAACTCTTCTTCTGAGAGAAATTCCTGAGGGTACACGTGATCGTTGCTATGACTTATCCCACGTGGATGACAATATTAAGCATACTTCCAGCGTGGAAGCGACTTCCGACTGCGACGCACGACGCATCACCATCAGCCGGACCACGGCGCACGTATCGACTGAAGACTTGGAGATATTTCTAAGCGTTAAGGGTAAATGTATCGGGATATCCATGACGAGTGAAGTATGTCTGATACGTGCGTATAATTACTTGGGTTGGAGTTGTATAAATATTCCAACGTCAAAAAATTGAGGTATATAACGATAATGACTGTCTTTATTGGATTAACCAAAAGGCGCAGTTCACATTGCGTGCTCTTCCACTCAACCTCAACCTATGAGTCGGATGATCCAATGGATTAAAGAATAAAAATTTAATATATAAGTTATGATATTTCATTCTGGCAATATCACATTTTTGAAGGTTTTCGCGATATACAATACTTCCTCGCCAGTAGGCATAGGAAGTAAAATGTCCCGCGTTACTTCCGACGAGGAGATTCGAACCCGCGAGCCTTCGAGTCGATCGATTCGCGGTTCGACGCGCTTACCCACTCAGCTACCCAGCTTCCTGACCTTTATTCTTGCTCTTTTCAGAGGAATCTCCAGTCCGACAAAACGACAAACTTCCCAACGAGGCGTTTCCCTACCTCCAATCCAGCAGCAACAACATCTACGAAGAAAGGCAAAGATTCTCGCCGAGGTGCTCCGAACGTTTGGAGATCGCGCTGGACAATATGAGACGAAGGAACGTCGTCAAGGAAAGAACTCTGCAACTGAATGGATACTCTTTGCACCAGCCCCTGAGGAGCCAGCCGTACGACATGTATGTCACTGATATGAGAGTTAGACTACCCCAGACTAATACGTGGGTAAGTGGAAGAAATCTTGAATATTGTTTAGTATCATCCATGCTTTTTGGTTGTAAGTCCTGGGTTCAGAAGAGTTTAAAATTACAGAGTATATTCCCCAATGTACCATTGATTACCGTATTCGATCTGAAGTTAGCCAACCACGTGTATTTCGACGCCAAAAAAGTTACCCGAGATGAAATGAGATACCTTGACGTCATCTATTAGAATTTGTCTCATGTATGTAGCTCTTCTCCGCTCTCATTATAAATTTGCGGAGACGAGAAACGTAGCTGTGAGAAATTCTCATAGATGACACGACTAGCGTATTTCATAGGATAGGTAGGATTGTATTTAGGCGCCAAACAAGCTATCCCAGATGAGATGACATACCATGGCGCCATCTTGAGAATTTCTCACACCTATGTTTCTCCTCCTAGCACTAATTGGAAATCTACTTTAAAAAGGTCATCTATGAGACACTAACCTTTTTAAAGTAGATTTTTAATTGTTACGGAGAGGGAAAACATAGCCGTGACAAATTTTCGTAGATGACGCCAAGGTATCTCATTTTATCTCAGATCATTGTTTGGACGCCGAAATGATTAACTATCTGCATATACAGGGTATTCATTTGAAAACTTCCCACCACGGACTTATCTAAAATCACTGATTACAAGAAAAAATGAGAGACACGTCAAAAGATTTGCCAAGGGCTACAACCTTTTAACCAAAAACTTCTTCAGCCCCTTTCACCCTCTGCCCATCCACTTCCACTTGAAAATTTTGAACAACAAGGGGTATCGAGTAATAGCTCCTTTAAATGGTCTTTCAACTTCCTTTATTTTGACGTTCGGTTTTTTAAAACCAGTCGATTTGTTTTCAAGAAAATTAGAAAAATCTTCATTGATCTTAATCTTAATTTGTTCAGATAGAAAACAAAAAGACACAAAAATATCACTTTTCATTTCAATAATAGATGAAACGTGGATATTTGCCAAAGGGTCGCTTAAACGAATTTGGCAAGATAAAAACGTAAAGGGTTTGAAATACGGCCGTCAGGGTACCGGCAAGCGGTATGTTGTTCTCCACGCTGGCATCAAAAACAGTTTTTTGAGAAATACTGCATTGTTATTTGCTACAAAATCAAAAAGTGCTGACTACCGCGATTCCATTCACAAAGATTATTTCAAAAATAAGTATTTGAGAAGCTGATACCAGCGTTACAAGATCCATCTTTAGCAATCATGGATAATGCCTCTTATCATAGTGCCTTAACAGCAAAATGTAATTGAAGCAATGTCTGCAAGGCAAAAAGACACATTTTGTTGATGACGCCTTTATAAACCAGCGGCTCCAAGTTATATCATAGACGAAGTATTACATGAACATGGACATCAAGTTTTGCGGTTCCCGGCTTACTCTTGTCAATACAACCCTATTGAGTTAGCCTGGGGAATAGCCAAACAGTACTACGATCGTCATAATGGGGAAAATGGCTATGGTGACAAGGAAGTTTTAAAAGTTTGGAATGATGCTCTAGCGAAGGTGACTCCTACAGTTTGGGCTAAGTGTGTGAAACATAGCGAAGTTTCGATTAAAAACGATTGGTACAAGCATCAAATGTATAATAGCGAGGAGACTAATATAATCATTCACTTGGAAAAATTTCGAAAATTTGTAATTTTTATTTTTCTAATGTGTGCACCTCAATGTTGTTGAATAATATTTTGATAGATATGGAAGTTGCAAGCTCGAGTTTAAGAGCATCATCATCAAAATGTATTTTTTTGTCTAGCAGTAATTTATTTAGTCGCATTTCACGCCAGGAATAATTGAGCATTCTTATTATTGGAGATGGTTCTTCTAAAGCTTTCATAAGCTTGTCACATATCCACATTCAATGTTAAATGTTCCATCAAGTTAGCAAATAGATGTGTTATTTTGTATTATATTGTAAATTCCATAAGTATACTAAGTGACATATAAATCCGAACACCCAGTTTAAATGGTTTTATTTTAATAAAATTGTGTATAAGTACTTAATGAAGCATAATAAGTAAATGATAAAAATTTCAAAACGATTGCACTGCTTTAAAGCCCTTTGACCTTTAATAATGTGTGGATGCACCCTGATGTGCTACGCATTCTCCAACGCGCCTAGGCATGCTTCTGATCAGGTGGTCAATGTCCTCCTGTGGTATCTCATTCCAGGCAACCACCAACTCCTCTCGAAGTGCTTATAGAGTCTGAGGAGGACGTTGCAAATTGAGCAATCTCCTACCCATCATATCCCACACGTGCTCAATTGGGGATAAGTCGGGAGATCTTGGTGGCCATGGTAACAATGTGACATCATTATGTTGAAAGAAGTCTATTGTGACTCTTGCAACATGTGGTAGGGCATTATCTTGTTGGAAAGTTGGATCTGCCAGGGTGTCAAGATAGGGTAAAAGATGGGGTTCTAGAACTTCATGGATATAACGCTGCGCGTTCATGTTACCTCTGATGAAGATTAAAGGTGACCTGGAACCATAACCCCCAAACCATAACTCCAACAGTGTGATGAACATGTCTTTCAACAAAAAACTGTGGATTCCTCCTTTCACCACGTCGCCTTCTAACCCTGGCACGACCATCGTGCATGACTAAACAAAATCGAGACTCGTCACTAAAGACAATACTGTTCCATTCCTGATCCCAGAGCGACCGTTGTCTGCACCACTCAAGGCGATTACGTCGGTGTTCTCAAGTTAAAGGGAGGACCCAGTGTGGCCGGTATGAAAACAAGCCAAAACTTCTCATTCGTCGGTAAACACTTCGCATGCCAATAGGTCTTCCGTGTTCTCAAACCATTCATTTGCAATGGACCTGGTAGTGGAGAAACGGTCCCTTAAGGCTAATAATCTTAGGCGGCGATCGTCACGGTCTGTTGTTCTACGGCGGCGTCCAGTGCCCCTTGCTCTTTGCGTACGGCCTTATCGAAGCCATGCCTGACAACACCTAACCACAGTGTCTACACTTCTTTGCACTCTAACTGCAATTGCCCGAAAAGAAAGTCCAGCTTCCCGAAGTCCCACTATACGGCCCCTATCAAACTCACTAAGTTGACGAAATCGTACAGGTCACCGTACTCTAGGCATCGTAACCGATCGCAAAGGATGTCAAGAACCAAAATCCCCTAACGTTGATTCTTTACTGCGGCTGAAATATTCATTTTTAGAGCGTTAGTGAATTAAAAAAAAGCAGTATAAAAACCGGAATGTCCAACTGATAAGGCTGAAATTTGTTTCACTTGTTATTTACAGTAAGATAAATACATTCACCAAATTTTATTAAAATAAAGCCATTTAAACTGGGTGTTCGGATTTATATGTCACTTAGTATATGTATTTTTTATTTCAACTTTAAAAAACATCAAATAACGTATACCTATATTTATGTACTAGATTAGAAGAATATATATATATATATATATATATATATATAAGATCTTCATTGAACGAAGATGTCTCAATGAGATTAGATTCTTTTGGATGTTGCTTTTGTCAAAAAAAAAACCTTTAGCTCAGTGAATGCCAATCTATCGACGTCGACAGACAGATTCACTTATTGACACTGCAAATATAAATCGAAATCGGAATCAAATCCAAAATTGATAATTTACGAAGTTAAGTTTCTGATTATTTAATGCATTATTTGAATTTTCAGGTGAGGGTAGACAAATGCAGATTTGATCCAAGAAACACTAGTCTTGAGACAAGGCTGCTATTCAACGATCTGACTATAAGCGGAAGGGTGAATTTGTTCAACGAGCTAGAGCTCCAACGGGAACCTGTTGATCCAGTGCCAGCGGATTCTTGTAGAATGATTCTACGACTAAGGAAAGCAGGAATTGGGTGGGTAAAAATACTTACAGGTGTAAAATTTAAACCTATATGTGGCTTGATTCGGCCCGACAGTGAAGTCCTGCTGTGTAATACTCACTGAAATAAACTGTATATGTATGGCTGTTATCCTGGAAGATATGTTCTTTCTAGGAAACCAGAGAGGTTTTATGATATAGCAATATATGGCGAAAATGAAGGTTCTAATTTTTGGAGTATACTTAATTGCACCGAAATTAAAATGATTTATGATAGCATTATATAGATCCAAATTGTCGCTCACCTTGCATAAGGGCGTAACTCACTTTTTTGTTATATTGAGATATTTATAGATTTGGCTTCACATAACTCTGGCTTACCATCTGACAAAAGAGCGTACCTCTGATTCCACTACAAGTCACTATTTCATGAAAACGTGTCTCATTTTCAGCCAGAAATCATCCTAACATAAAGGCGTATTCTGAGATACACTTACTTGTTTGACGAAGTCATACCGACCGCGGTGTCTTTACAGGAGCATCTCATGCTACAAGGAAGTGCTATATTATTAAAAAAATGTTTTTTCAATCTTCTTGATAGTTCATATGTATCATGTTCCCATGCGTATCAAGTTGATTTTAGCATTTCTGGTTTCGGCCGGAACTGTTATGCCGCAAATTGACCAGTTATACCTAGGATCAAATCAGTTCTGGAATAATGCATATAGGTACAGGTATATTGAAGATGATCTGTGGAAACCTAAACAAAAATTGCATTTGAAGTTAACCAATCGCAGACCAATCGGACTGAAAAGTTGCCTAGCGTGAAATTTTCCAAAAGAAGCTGCAACATTCCATTGCAATATCAGATCAACATCATTCATATACAATGGAAATATAAACATAAACAGTCCGCAAGCATAAAGTTGCCTCTTGCAAAGGATCCTGTTTCTAGATATATCCGCTGATTTGCTGATTCCGAAACAATTCCAACGTGCAGGAAACGATCGATTGTTTCTGGTGATGGAAATTAAGGTCACACTTTTGTCTGTATTCTACATACTGAGGCATGCAGAATATCACGGGATATTCGCTATTTTAGCTCGTAAATAAACAGTTAAAAAGGTAACCTTTCAACTATTTATCTTACTACTTTTTCTAATCCCTACGCCACTGGCGAGGAAATTTTGTAATAGCAAAATTTTTCTAAAATGATATGTTTTTTGGATGTCATATATGCGCATCACGAAAACCATGCCACTCATTTCCGTTGGTCTGTTTGTCCGTTAATTGTTGGCTACTCTGTAAGTTGGGAAGTACCTACCGGATTTTGATAAAAATTTTATGCAAGGACCAAGGACGAAAAAGCTTTGAAGTTTTTCGGTACAGCTAAAGAGGAAAAGTAAAAAATTGCTTTTGAAAAACCGGGCCTTAGGCATACCAAATCTAAACATATATTCCTTTTTACACTTAAACCATCAGCCTCAATGTCGTATGCAAAGAAGTATATACGTTTTTTATTGTTTATCAATTTTTTTTAATATATAGTAGATCGGAAATATATAGAAAATAATAAAAGTAGGATGAACGTTAGTTAAATTTCAATCTCAGATGTGCGACTCAACAACATAATACGGCAGCTACGTGTGGTGCGAAGCCCCGGCGAAATTTCTAGATCGCAACATTGTCAACTGGGTATTGAGTAATTGTATGAACTTATTTGACCATTACATTCCTTTCTTATGTACGATAATAGTAAAGTCTAAGAGTCGTCAACTTCCGCAGTACATCTTTTATAAACTGATGATGCGTAGAAAATGTAGTCGACGTCATTTTTACTTCTCACGCCACACAGGTGAGTAAGTATTATGATCGTGAAAAAAAGATGCTAGGTATATCACAGTACATCACGAAAAACGTGTCACTCATTTCCGTCGGTCTGTCCGCTAATCCCTGGCCTGTAACTTGGAAAGTACTTTTTGAATGAAACGTTTACACAGTAATACTGTGCTAAGGAAAAAAGGTTTGTAGTTTATAAAAATTAGTCCAGTGGCGAAAAAACGAAAAAAATAAAAATCTTTCAAAGTTTTTTTTGACGTTTCAGTGAATGACGGTATATTTTATTATTAAGCTTCTGATCCCGGTTATGACTGAAAATTTAAATGACAAAAATCCGACGAATACTGGGCTCACAATTTGAAATAATGAACGATCGATCTCTCTACGCGCGATCCATGGTGCTGCAGCAGCAGACAAACAGACAAACTACCTGATTGGAATGAAGCTGTTATCCGACCGACTAGCGTAGCAGGTATCACTTCGGGTTCTGCGAAACAGCCGAGTTGAGCGTGAAACTGAAATAGTCGATAGGGCTATGTTTTTGGAAATATTTTTAGCGAATGATGATTTGACAAGTTTTATACCTACCGTAATTTGTTCTGAATTTTATGAGCCATCATGAGTGTAACCATTTCGCCAAGCCTTTACTTTGTATTCTTAACTATGCGTACTCGTAATGTTGTTCTGGTTATAAGTAGGTATATATATATAGATATGTACATATTTTCGTAGATAGGAACCTAACTCTCACGGGCTTAATACCAAGTACCTCGCAGGCATTCATAGTGTAACAAGAATGAATAGTACTGTTGCCTCCATCTGTTGAGGACTGCGCCAGACTCTACTACTCACCAGAGCTTCATGGCCGATCTCTCAGTGAATGGCGCGACAATAATTCGTAAATAAATAGTCAGACATAAGTAACGGTGTACATAACTGATCTAGTCAAGTTAAATAAATTAGTGCACTTCTTTTTGTGGAATCCAGTATTATAATCCACACCCAAAAGAACCCAGAAAAACGCTACAATATACTGAAATAACTACATTTCTCAAAAATGCTTCCTGAATGTGCATCGTAATACAGTTATGAGTTTCTGAAAACTCCTGATACAAACACTTTCATTATGTTCAAAAGTGCCACAAACAGAAACATCCGATAACGAAGTTGTTAAACGGTATGATGTCGATGTGTTTTCTGAATTCGCTTATTAAATAGTGCTCCACAAATTTGATTATGCAGGGGTTTGTGACATTACATAGTTACAAGAAGGCCGACATGTAGATCTAGAATAACAAAGCGACAAAAATGAATCATGTCAGTTTGTGTAAAATATTTTTGAACAAGGAAAACCGTGTTAAAAGTTCGAATATACTCGTAATTGCGTTAATTCCATCGTTTACATTCATTGATTACACGTATAGGTGGCAAGACACCTCTTGATATATTACTTGACCGAGAGAAAGAGAGACTAAATTGCAAGGCCTCTCTGTATGTTGTCTGTTCTCTAATATTTAACCGCTTTATAACTCGGATAGTAGTTGTAAATATAGCATTTTTGGTATCAGTGATGTACTAAGGAGACACTAATATCACACATATTTTCCACACATCTACGTTTGCAACAAAAATATGAATAGTTTGAGATGGTACATCGTACTTCGTGAACGTACCTCCAAGTGTCGCTTTGAAATTTGCGAATTTGAACGAAGGTGTGGAAGTATGAGTCGATCTACCTGACGCCATTTTTTTTTTCAATTCTACAGGGCGTATATGTATCTACCTTGGTCCTAGACTGAAACATGGAGCTACCCTTATTTGATATCATAGGATGCCATTCGAGAAAAATCCTATTAATTACCCGTATACATTTCTTCTTGCAGGTTTCACACAGAACCCATTCGCCGAGAGCGTGGCCAGTTCAACGTCAGAACCGACTCCCATTTCGTCGAACCTGGCTTCATCTCGGTGTATGCCTACGGTTGCGAACCTCGCTTACGACAGCACAGACGGCAGTTGCGTGAGGAGGAAGAGGAGGATCTATCGAGGGAGATGGAGGACATCTTCCTCAAAGGCATACGGTCACTCCTCACGACATACATGCAGAAGGAGCTCCAGCCGGCTATCAAGGAGACGCTTATGAGGAATATGGGCTATACTGTGTCGTATGGATGACAGATTTAGGAACTGTGTGATTGTATTTAAAGTGAAAGACTCCTTAGATAATTAAGCATTCGCTGAGTGCGCGATGACAGCGCCACCTATCAGATTTCGGACAGAAATACTTGCGTTTGACAATGTATAACCTACAAAATTGATATCAATGAAAAAGACGGACATTTAGTCAATTTGAGGTTAGAAAAAATTTCAAACTGATAATTCTCTTTTGATCTGATACAAAAAAACTCACAAAGCTTTAAGCATTCTAGAAATCGCGCAGGAATGCTAAAGCTTCATTATTCTTTATTTTTTGTTACCTCCGGAATGTTCTAGAAAATAGTTTATCAAAATTCTAGATCCTCAAGCACTTTTGAGTTACGATCACTGGTCAGTAAAAAAAACTGTTCAATGAAATTTTAGCGCATAAAAAAGACGGTTTTTGGCAGGTGACAGTAAAACTACAGGAAATAACGGGTGATTTTTTAAGAGGTATAGGATTTGATTTTCAAAAAAAAAAACACAAGAAATTTGAAAAAACGATTAAATCTTTATTTGAGTCGTTAGAACGGTTGATATAATTTAATGTTTAAAGATTATTTCATGTAAATGTTGGCCGCGGCTCCGCTTTAGATGGCCCATGCGCAAGGTCCAATTTTGGCACACTCTCTCCAACATATCGGCCGGTATCTCACGAATAAATGCTTCAATCTTGGCTTCCAGTGCGTCAATCGTTGCTGGTTTATCCCTGTAGACATTAGCCTTAACAAGCCCCACAAGAAATAGTCCAACGGCGTCAAATCACACGATCTAGGCGGCCAACTGACGAAGCCCCAAACGTGAGATAAACTGTTCACCGAACTCGCCTCTCAATAGGGCCATTGTTTCGTGTGCGGTGTGGCATGTGGCACCGTCTTGTTGAAACTACATGTCAGCCAAGTCCAGCTCTTCCATTTTGGGCAAAAAAAAGTTTGTTATCATCGCACGGTAGCGCTCGCCATTGACAGTTACGTTCCGGCCATTGTCGTCTTTGAAGAAGTACGGCCCGATGATGCCACCGGCCCATAATCCACACAAAACAGTGATTTATTCGGGATGCATTGGTAGCTCTTGCAATGCTTCTGGCTAGTCTTCACTCCAGATGCGGCAATTTTGCTTGTTAACGTACCCATTCAACCAGAAATGAGCTTCGTCGCTGAACACAATTTTTCGATAAAAATGTGGATCTTCCTCCAACTTTGCCAGCGCCCATTCACCAAATTGGAAACGTTGTGGGAGGTCGTGTGGCTTCAATTCTTGCACCAGCTGTATCTTATAAGGTTTTACACTCAAATCCTGACGCAAAATTTTCCACGTAGTGTAGTAACAGAGGCCCAATTGCTGCGAACGGCGGCGAATGGATCTTGCACGGTCATCACTAACACTGGCGGATACAGCCGCAATATTTTCTTCAGTCCTCACTCTACGTCTGCCTGTTGGTGGTTTAATGTCCAATAATGTAAACTGGGTTCGAAATTTAGTCACAAGCTTCCGAATAGTTCCCTCAGTAGGCCGACCAAATTGCCCACAAATTGGAAGCAGTGCTCGATGCACTCTCTTAACCGAGCATGAATTTTGATAGTAAAATTCAATAATTTGCAAGCGTTGTTCGTTCGTAAGTCGATTCGTGGTTAAATTATAGACCAAACTGAACAAGTTTGACAATGACACAAGACACGATTCACGCGTCATCTGTTAAAAACAGTGTTGCCAAAAAGATACTAGCAAAAAAATCACCCATTACTTTCATACAGCCATCTCCTTCACACATACGTATGGAATTGGCCTCTATGTGCGCACGTTTCTCTCTAAGCTCACAGATATCAGTTTTTGGTTTTGTATCACCGCCTTAAAAATTGTATCGTTTACATATGAGTCTTCCACAAGAATTTTGTTACTGCCAGTATGATAATTTGCTCGTCATGGGCGTGCATTTCAGTTTACCTTCAATTTTCAATATAAAACATACCGTTAAATGCACCTACAATGTCAACAGTATGTTGGATTTATTGAAGTACTTTAAGGAAGTGAATGAAAGCGACGATCCTCTGTCACCCAACTCATGCGAAGGTGCAAGAGCGAGCAGAAGCAGAAGTTAATTTCCGCACATGTTATAGTTAGTCAATCTGTTTACTTATTTTGCATGACATTGGCATTGTTTACACCATAGGGTACCCTATTTCACGAGTATCCATCACGCTTTGACGTCTACTGAGGTGATCGGCTGATCAGCAAGTGACATTTTTGTGTTAGTCTGCAACGTTAGCAATAATGAATCGAGTATAAATCTAGTAAAACTTGTTTATGGCATTTTGTTTTTTGTGTGTAAATGAACTTTTATAACTAAAAGAACTGTTAGCAAGTACAAAATGAGTCTATAGCGTTCAAAAAAAAACAAACAAAATACGGCTCTGCCTACCTGGCGTTGACAGATCCGTCAGAATTGTGTCCTGTGCTGGTATGGGGATTGTTGAGATGTTACTAAATAATCAGCTGTCATTCTACCGTAAAAAGGATATTATAGCCACAACCGCTTATATGACATATAAGCCACGGTGTAAACGGGCGCAGAACAGCAATTATGCACAGAACTATGATGCTTAGTCGCTATCTAAGAGCTTGGAAACCCTACGACATGAACGTGGCACATATCACGTAATCACCGGAAACCGTGAATTGATCTTTAGGTTATTTATTACAGTACTTATTATCCATTAATTTTCGTTTTTGTAAAGGTGTGAAATAGTACCTCTTTATTGTACAGATTTTTTGTTGTACTATAGGTTGCTGTATACAGGGATATTAACTATGATCTATGATTAGTTTTTTAGCACACTTATGTCATTCTACGAGCTCGTATACTGGGAGATGGCAGAAAAATGATCGACGATTTCGTCCCGCCAGCGCATACTTTCGTTAGAGAGAAAAACCTCCTCGATACCGCACACATCCGTCGGTATATCGTCACCATTCCTTCTTCGTTTCAAGGAGCATGCTGGGAGATACCGTGTAAGAGGTGATGTCATGTGCGTAGGTACCCGCCGGTATGCTTTGTTATGTGCAGATTTACCAGATAATGGATATTGTAGATAAGTGACGTTATGCCGATGGATACTAGCGATATCCTTCTCAATGCCTACATCTGTAATCTTCGGGTGTACGCTAACCATAATGTGTAAATAAATGATAATTATGAATTTTAGACTTGTTTCTTCATTCTTCATTACTAATATTTGCATTAAACGCGCTTATTATTACGCAGTGACTATGACATTTAGCATTTTATGCTAAAACCTCGAAAATCAAAATTAACACTTAGGGCCGTATCGTCAGACGTTCCTATAATTGTAGGATGCCTTAATGGCCTCCTTGATTTTCATAGTTTCCTATCGTTCCGTGTCAGCGCTGTATTTTGAGGTTATGTTACAAATCTATTTGCATCAATTTGATTATATAATCGGTTATATAGTGTGAAATTTCCTATTATTCAAGAAAAAACTTAGCTTGACAATAGGAGAGCGTTGGCGCTGACACGGAATATGTCAGCCTTTCTGGAGGAGAGAAATAACTATGAAAATCAAGGAGGCCATAAAGGCGTTCTACAATTGTAGGAAAGACTGACGGTACAGCCCCAAGGGCCTACTATTCCTACTATTGTACGCCTTTATGCACTCCTTGATTTTCGTAGCATTTTCTCCCGTACAGACAGGCTGGTCTATTTCTAGATTTCTATTATTCCGTGTGAGCGTCAGCGTTCTCCTATTGTGAGGTTACGTTGTCTTGAATTGTAGAAAATTTGAGGCTGATATATATTATATATATGAAAGGTTGGGAAATCTCGAAACTGGAGATACTACAGTCAAAAATATGTGAATTGACCTAAACATACCTTAGTCCAAAAGTTGATAGTTTGTGAGATACAGGGTGTCAAAGTTACAATTTAATTTTCTATTTTTTCTTATTGCTTGAGAAGTATTTCAGATTTTGTAGTATGAGAAATAAAAATCCATTATTTTTATGGCCACTTACAGCACTATTTCGGTAAATAACATATCATAACTTTTTTGTGCTACCCTGTAAACAACAACTGACCGAAAAATCGTATTTTCTCGTATTTCCACAACAAAAAGGTTTACTTGTTAGAAGTGTCTAAAGCTAATAGTTTTTGAGATATTTGATTTTAAAAAGTTCCAATACATTATTTGATGATGATAAAACATTTTTACAACATAATAATCAAGTTGCTTCGGCTAATATCTGAGTAGCGTTGCTATGGTTTTTAACAATAACAAATGAGGATGGCAACAAAACTAATAAACGGAAATAATAACTACAAAATTTGTTCAAAATGAGCACCGCCTTGCCTAACACACTCTCGAGCTCGACGAACTAATCATTGCAATAAAAGTACGCATAACAATATTTGTTTCTCTAAATTAAAAAAAAAATAATAGGTAAAAAAGAGCTATATGGAATCGAACCTATGTCCTACTGTTCTGCAATCGCTAATTCTTCCCATTACGTTACGACGCCTCTTGTTTTACCCGATCTTTATACCACTATACTTGACACTGACAAATGTCAAGCAAACGCTGGAGGCATATCAAATCTGTTAGAAACAATTAGAATACTCAAGTAAACTATACAAGATACAATGCTGAAACTTTAAATAATGTATTAGAGACTAATACCGAGCATTTTTCCTATTTTTTCAGACAGTCAGTTCGCTACAATTGCTTGATGTTTGTCTACTGGTTTTTCTTTTCCTCGAGTTTATTTTCCAACATTTTGAACCCGCAGTCGTTTCAATTGTACGAGATTTTTTGCTACTAGTGGGATCTTTTTGCGTTTCTCATTCTGTAGATCTCATAAATACCTAAAAATCTTATTCAAAGAGTTTTTTCATTCCTGCCAAAACTTTCGATTGAGTCTCAAGAAACACGTTTTCTCATTCTTTGTTGACGAATTAAAAGTTTTACCACAAAAATTGTTGTACCCATTTTATGCGTCCATGTTTTAAATACCCTCTTGAACAACTTGCATCAGTAAAATCAGACTTTACAATTATTTCGCAAGCCAGGGTTATTTTGGTCTAATATGATTTAGACTATCGATCAAAATGCATAACAGAAGAAACGCAACTGAAGTCGAAATCGAGTTGATTTTGGTGAGAACAATGCCTTACAATTTACGCTCTTCAGTGCCGGCCACAGACGGTAAGCGAGTGAGGCAGCCGCGCGGAAGGGCGCATATTTCATCCTTTGACCCAGGGAGCATAAAACTCTGAATACAGCCCTGACTATGTTGTTAACCAATATTGATCATACAACAAAAAAAAATACATGAAACGTGTATGTATTTTATATTCTAGAAAATATTGCCCAAAATACATGGACATTATCACAACTCATGCAAATGTATTCTAAATATCGCGCTACACAAGACCATTATGGGGGAAACGCGTACTTCCCATCCAATATATACCATTGGGACCTGAAATTTGAATGCATATTGCATGGCCCAAGTTTTCGGTAAAAAATTGGAAAAGTCTATAAAACTATACACATGCCCACACTGGCTCCTTTGTGGAAAATATTCACTTCTTCTGAGCTGCAGACCTGGCAAATACCACCACCATAGGTTTCTCTTTCAAGATATAGCCATTAGTCTCTTTTACTGCCTGCTGCGCCAATTCAACACTATCGAAAGTCACAAATGCTTGACCTTTCATCCTACCTGCAATAAAAATATAATACTTGTTTTACTGATATATGCACAGTTCTTCCCTAGCAGACACAGCTTTGTAAGAATAACTGTTTTTTTTTTTCAATTTGTACAGAAACTAAGCTGAAAGGATATACAAAAAATGGGTATAAAATATAAAATCTACATACAGTTGGTCGACCAACCACCGTTAAAGGTTGGATATATTTATGAGTAGGAAATTGTAAAAATGGGGCAAATGCATTGCAAAAATGTTGGTGAACAGATCTCAGCAAACTTTGTAGATGGACAACAATACATGCTAATTGCATTGAACACTGAAAATTTGCCAAATATAATAAGATTAAAAGACTAAAACAAATACAAACTACATACCTTCCTGCATCAGTCTAATATCAAACTGGCTAGGTGCTTCTTCCTTCTCAGGAACTTTGTACCTATTGAAGATATACTCCAAATCTTTAACCACAACAGTCTTTGCTATATTCTTTATGTACAGTCTACATGTAGGAGCCCCTGGGTGGTAGTTCTTGAACACAGGCAGCACACCAAGGTCTTTATTTGGAATCTGATTGGCAGCCAGTTCTTCTGCAGTGATGTAACTCTTTTCCTCAGGTTCAGTTAATCTATCTTCGGTCTGTTGTGACTCAGGGGGTTTCTGATCTTCAGGTTTTTGTGTGGGCTGAAGTATTCCAATAGAACCAACCTGTTCTGGTATTGTAGGCTGCTTAGGGTGTTCTAACGTATCTGATGCTACTTTTACTTCTATTTTCTTTTGTACTTGAACATCGACCTGAAAATGTTATTTAGATATTTCTCGATTAAAGCCTATACAACTAAAAATATATACTGATTAACTGTTAAGGAACGACATTCGACCAATTCTTGGAATGAGAGAATATAATAACTAAAAGAAGGTGGCGTGGTTCTCTTACTTTTCGGCAAACTGTATTCCTGAACGCTAATAGAATAGCGACTCCCTAAATCATTCTCGGGACAAAAAGTGTGTAACTCTCGCCGTCGTCCATCAGTGATGGAACGTTAATGATTTGAAGAACCTATAGCAATCTATTGTTTTGTCAAACTAGTTTGTCAAATGTCACCAGCTGACAGAATTTGATATCATTCCCCAGGTATGAAAACCAGGCCGACTTTCTCCCAGATATTCTACTAGCTCGTTTTCAAGAATGTCCTGGAGGCCAATTCTTGATACAAGGGGGTAGAATAATTATTATAAAAAGTAGGCGTGCTTTTGTTACCTTTTGAGGAACTGTATTCTTCTATTGATAAGCAAAGTGCGAAAGTCTCGTCATCATTCATCAGTCTCATCTCTATAAGCGAAGTTAACCTTCTCATCAAACATTTAATGGTATGAATGGTCTAGGAACATATTACTTTGCCGAGTGTCGATGGATTGACAAAATTTCATAAACAACAAAACATAAGGTAATAGACTAATTTCTACTGATTATCCTTCCCTCTTCGTTTTCAAGGATTGGAATCCTTTAGCCATGGGCAGAGGCCCTGGGATAAGAAAATGACTGAGAAACAGTTGATAACAAGTTACAGCCACTAAATCATAGGTCCAGAATATTTTTTCCATAACAGTGACTACTTAAAGGTACATTCTCAAACAAATAATATTACCTTTTCGAAAACATTTTCACGTTTTTCAGCAGGTTTTGTAGAAGTACTGGATTGCTGAGCAGTAGGTGGTTTTATAAATTTTGGCCTTTTCACTGCTGGTTTTGTTGACTTGGATTTTCGCTTCACTGGTACAAATTCCCTATTCCTAGGAAGAGATACAAATTGAAATAAATATTTGTAGAATAGTGTACATTACTTATCTAGTTTGGTATGGAAAGAATTTTACACCACAATCCTGGCGCTGCTAACTCATTTTACAAGTACTTTAAAACATCTAGTTACTTGGTGTGAAACTGACAAACTCAAATTAATGAATGCAACAGACCACGTGGACATGGTTTGAACTGATTCATTCAAGAAGAACAGTAAAAGGAGATCTAATGCGGAGCTATACTTTAAACTACTTATTTCTCAATTGTTCTAAGATATTCCCAAATACAAAATTAAATTGTCAAACTAACACAATGGAATTGACAGGATGCAATTTTAAACGACATGCACCTACAGGAATTTTTGAGGGATGGCCGATCATCAGGAAGAGGTAACTTTTTGTGGAAATGAGCCTGCCTCCAAAACATTTTGGAAAACAGGGAGTAGGAAATATTCTCAAAAAAACCACAAAATCATAAATATGCAAATTTTAAGGTCTTACCATACTCTCATAGGGGGCACTGGCACCCCCTGCAAGCACACATAGGAAATGCATTTATTTTGAGAAAAATATAACCCTAGATGCATATTCAAAATGAATATATTTTTGGTAATAATTAAACGGTAATGTCGTGGCTACAAAATAAAAAATCCAACCTACTACCAATATCAAAAATTTATTTACAGGCCTTTCTTGAAGTTGATGGTTCACTCATCATATAGTTATTGCATAAATAGGCAAATTTTCCTACTAGCATTAACACATACACCAAAATCTAGAGATAACATCAGTTTCAAAAATTCTGTGATATCAAATGCAGATCGTGCAAATGACTAGGTAAAAAATACGATGCATGTTCGTATTTAACCAGTCGTGTAGGTAAACCTGAGCTGTTTTCTACTGCCCAGTTTAATTACTCTGAGTAACATGGTAATGCTCAGCACCATTATCGATCCACGGCGCTTTGTATTCTCATGCAAACTGGAAAGGAGCTCAAGCTGTTCATTTATAGACATTGAGGAAAAAATTAAAATGGTACACTCCTATTGTAATGATGAACTTGTCTATACACAATTTAAGTTTTAGCGACGCTGACGCGGCAATCTGCCGCGTTGCAAATCTGTTATACCAGTTCCTTGAATTAAGATGCATGTTGAAAATATGCGTTAGTTTATTACCTATGCCTAAATAATGGTTTTATTTCGAGCGTACACATTTTTGAATTGTGAATGGTCTCGAATCTGTTTAGGACCAATTCCGGATCGGTCCTAGCGGCGGTTCATTTTAGGTACAACATTACATCATTGGCTCGCTTTGCAACACCACCTCTCATACATTCCAAGGCAAGGTTTCCACCTCCATGATCACAGATGAGCAATTTTGGTCAGTACCCATCTAGAGCTCATTGGAAAGTATCATCCTGCTTAGAAATGCTTGCTTCTATCTCTTTCTAACATGTGTTGATACACACTTCTCGCGCTTCTCTCTCATACACATTGAACTCAAGTCATCAGGCAAATTTGGTTTTCCATGTATAATGTTAGTTTATGATAAGTATTTGTTACTGAGGATTTGCGAGTGTATTCTGAATGTATAAAATGATGGATCCTTTGGCACAGCAAATATTTCAACAACACAGTTTTACAACTAGCCAAATCAGTTTACAAAGCAGCCAACACAAGTTTTTCTAACTAAACATAAATCAGTTTGGCGAGTGGTGAAACTGTTGTAATGCCTGATTCTTCTGAAAAGCTTAATATATACACAAACCTGAAGTAATCACCATCATCACTCTCTAACTCGGACTCTGATGATGATTCAGCTGGTTTTGCTTTCACTTCCTGAGATTGTAGAGGAATTTGTTGATTTGGTGGGGGTTGAAGAGGCACTTGTGTAGTTTCTGGAGGAGGAACAGTCCTCTCAACAGGTTTTTGTATTACTGGAGCTGGTTGAGCTGGTGTAATGATCCTAACTGGAGGTTGTTCCACAGCAAATGGTGGTGGAAGATTCATTTTGTTCATCAGATGGAGCACCTGAGTATAAAACCTTGGAAAAAAATGATTGAATTAGAATAATAATCATTACTTTTTTTATATCAGGAAGATATAGTGAGGGCAGTTTGAATCCACTGAATAAATGGCTTCCCTAGAAATGTCATTCAAACGACTCAAAAAGACTTAATAGGGAACCTTGTAGCTCAATTCCCAGTATCTCAGGGAAATGTGACCCACCTTCAGTACCAGTTTGAACTCACTCAAGTTATTGGGTTGTCCATAGCAATTTGTTTTGTAAAACAGTTTTTTCTATTGTGTTCTAAAAATAAGTGACAGGTTTGTGCATCAGACTTAGGCACAGTGCAACAGAAATTCTTGATAAACAGGCCTACTGAGATAGTGTTTTGTCAAGAGCCAGATTTTTCAGTGGTAAGGCATTTTCAGAAGGGAGAGAGTCAATTGAAGATGAACAACAAAGCCTGACTTGAGGCCTTGTGACGTTTCTCTTAATAAAGTTGAAAAATCACCTTAAGGGGATAGTTGAAAAGATTCAAATGGCTGTAACCCTCCAGCTGGAGATGATTCCAGTATAAGAGTTCCAGCACTGCTATGAGAACTGGAAGAACTGTCTCCAGCTCTGTGTGGCTTCAGAAGAAAATTATTTTGAAGGTAAGAAAATTGTAAATATATTTGAATAAAAATATTAAACTTATCACTTAATTTTCCGACCTCTTATGTAGATGGTATGTTGTGTTTTCATATACTACTTGTATTAGACGCTGGTCATTATGAAATCGTAAAACTAGCTCAGATATTGGTGATCATTTTTTATTATACAATTAGTCCGCAAGATGAACAATTACACAGCTTCTAACACATACCTTGGTATGGTAGCCAATGCATGAGCAATATTATTGATAGTGGCCCTGTTAGGCTTAGGGTATAAGTACTTCAAGTGAGATGGTGGAGGCTGGTCAAATCCAAGAGAGTCATTGAAGGCATTGAGTTTGTTGATGAATGTCTTGTAGGATTTCTTGCCACTGACTTCAGGTTCATCTATCTTTTTCAGCTTGGTCTTACCCTGCAGGATATCGTGTTCGGCATACTCTACGCTAAGCCGACAGTTCAACACACATATTTGATGCAGCCTGAATAAAACGTTCTTGGCTAGTTCTTCTGAATCGAACTTAGCATAAACAACCGATTTTTCCTTTACTCTTGAAGTTACCACTTTCACCTTCGATGCGCCGAAATGCCTGGCAAAATCTTCTTTCTGTGCTTCCGATAATTCCTTCGGGAGGTTTTTTATCTTCAAAGTATCTTTACAAACCATTTTTGAAATTTCAAATTTGGATAATCAGGAAAATTTGTAGGTTAGAAATCAGAAAACAACAGCAACGTGACCATTGACTTCTTACCTTACCTTACTTGGGTAAGACGTCAATGAATATGACAGTCACATGGGACCATAGGAGATAAACTAGCAAGAATAAAGAAAATCAAAAGGAAGTGTCTATTGAACCGCGATCGCTAAAGTCATTAGTTGTTTTGGCTTCATTAGTGTCACGTCAGTCCTCTACGTCACACAGTCGTCACTGAATTCATAGAGAGTTATTTTGCGGTTTGAATCTAAATTCGCAAAGGAAATTTTTTTGTAAGCTTAATATAATATAATAATATATTAAATGTAACGTGAAAATAAGTACCAAAAATACTGAAATCTAGCCATTATGTGCTTGGTACACATGAAAATACCTATCTCACTCATAAATAGCATTGTTATGTTCCTATGAAATTATGATTGTGCTATGAATGTACGTAAAGCTAAAAGATTTTTTCCAACTTCAAGGCGTGCCATACCATTTTCGGTGATAGGAGAGTTTTTTAAGGACGATATATAGGTACAGCTTCAACGTGGCGAAAACGCTTACAAAAGTGAGAAAGTTCACAAATGATATTTGATGCAAAATTTTGCCCCTCTGGCTGTTTAAAGAAGAAATCAACGCTAGTATGAAAGTAGAACACTAATACGGTAGGGGTAATAACTTAATCTATGTATGAGGATTTATGTGTAGAGTAGTTTATGTTATTTTACATTTCTTATAATATGTAGGATGGGATGGTAGCTGCAATATGTTCATCTCCGAGAGGCCTAGATGTCTGTCAACATACGACTGCTATCTCCATTCATGCTCACCATAATGCTAATTGGCAAGCATGTGACAGGCAACACTTATGTGGAGCAAAAGGAAAATATCAAAAAGTGGACTAACTATAAAAATTACGAACGTTTACATGGCAAAAAATATGGCGGGTCCAACGCAAATCAAGGGAATGTGATAGCGTCAGCACTTGATGCATTTAAGAAAGCAATAGCAGATGCTACTCTTGTAGAATACTGCTTAAAATCCAATGTGGTTTCCAATACATAAATCACAGAAATTTGGAAGATGTACTGACAAAGAACAAACATCTTATATCTCATTTAACAATTTTTTGGGGATCATGCTTGAGAAACAAAACTATTCAAATTCCGTTGAAGTTGCATAAGTTATTTACTAATATGGATTCCAAGATAATTTTTCATTGTGGGAGTTGTCATAAAATGTAGAAGGGAAACACAATCTAGATGTATAAAATCATTCAATGGAACCTAAAATATTTTTTATTAAATATTATATAGTGAAAAATAAAATAATGTCATCTATTTAGTATTCTGATCGATTTATTTTATAGACGTGTCTTCTCCGTTGGCTGATGGTAAATCCAAATTATTCAGAAACAGGGCAACACTCATGTCCAGAAATATGAATAGTTAACAAATATAAACATCCACAACTACAACAAAAAATATTTCGTTTCAAACATTAGGTGTTCACGCATCACATTTATTTTAAAAATATTGCCATAAGGCTTAATATATGATATTGACGTTGATTATTCTTACTATGTTGAATAGAGCAAAAACCATTTTTTCTGTGAGCAATACATGTATTGATACTTTGATAATTGGGTATGAAAATATTTCGAGGTCGCGAGTCTACGCTGGGTCTGCTCTGATACAAAATCATCAAACTGTGGGTTTAACCAAAGTATAATTATTGCTTTTATAACACTATGATCTGATTAAGTGGCCTCAATGGATTAGTATAAGAATTACACGGTTCTTCGAAAGCATGTGTGAGTAAACGCAATTTATTCTTTCTGCATGGTCAAATTTGTGTACAAATAATCCATATTATGGTACTCCCCACTTATATAAGTCACGCCAAATTTTTGGAGAAGCTATCGAAACAGTTCCAGCGAAATACGAGTATATCTCAGTCCCTAGGCCACAGAACAGTACATAGAGCACACTACCGTACGATAAAGTTACCGTACAAATAGACTGGTAGAGATCACGTAAATAATGGTTACAACACTGATAACTCTCGAGGACATAAACAAGCTGATCAACGATGGTAATCAAGAACTCAAGGGACAAATTAATAGCTTGAGCGAGACTGTTAATGAAGCCAAAAAAGAAATAAACCACATCAATAATAAATATAGAGATATCGAAAAGGAAAACTCATTATTGAAAAACAAAATCCTTAATCTAGAGAATAAGCTGAAAAAATATAACATAGTGATCTATTGGGTAAAGGAAAGTGATAAGGGGCCTGTGGAAGATACTTTAAGCACTATCGAAGAAAAATTAGAATTTCAAACTTCCCTAAGTGCCGTAAGGGACTGTTTTCGTATTGGCAACAAGCTATCCGATTCTGATAATAGAGCTAGGCCACTTGTCATCAAATTCGTTAATTACAACGTAAATCAAAAAGTTTTGGAGAAGGCAAGAAAACTGTTGGCGTGTTTGTCGATAACGATTACACTCCAAAAGAATACTCCAAGAGAAAATTACTTCTCAGAACCTGAAGAAAGCCAGATAAGCATCTAATTATGCGCTTATTAAAATCAATATTCTTTATGTCAATGGCGAAGCTTTTACCTGGGAAAAGCTACAGAATGACGATATTGACGACCATTAGGATGAAGGAATCATTGAGACAGTTATCTCTATGTAGGATAAAAATACCGAAGAACAACTGATCCCTCAAGATACGAAAAGAGGGGAAAAGAGACTGCAAGATGAATCAAGCAAGGTTAACAAGATAGTTCCCGCAGGCTCAGCTAAAAGTACCCCTACTTCCTTCCCACAAGGGGCCTAAACTACGCAGTACTTCAAAGTAACTGAACTATTGTGTGTGCTTGTATTATGTGTTTTTTTTTGCGTGAATTTACAAACGCTGAGCTTATACCTTGTTTTATCGATTTATTATTCTGTGTTTATCCGGTTGTTTTTATTAGTATTGCATATATTTGTTGCATTTTCTTTATTCTGTATAGATTTAATATATTTATCACGTGGTTATACTCATTTTACTTGCAAAATATGTTGGCTCCTCTTTAAGAATAAGCTTTCGCCAGTATCCAAACCAACTTCGCTAGTAGACTTTTTTATATATATTTCATTATACCTGTTTTCAATATGTCTAGACATCTATAATTCATGAGCTTCAACGTAAGGTCAATTCAATCTGGTTTTCTAACTTTGAATGAGTATGTTGTTGACTGTGCTGTCGATGTCCTGGGTATCAGTGAGACTTGGCTAACGCCAGACATTGATACCTCTGCAGTATTTATCAACGACTTCAATGTCGTTAGAGCAGATCGAAATAGCAGAGGCGGAGGCGTTTTATGTGAGAAATTTTATTGTCTTCAGAATATTGCACTCTAATATCACCACAGTATTGGAAGAACTTTGGATCTCTGTAAAGATTAATAAACGCAAATATTGTCTAGCTGTAGTCTACCGTCCACCCTCGGTAAACTTGCTTGATTGTTTTCATCAATTAACTGAGTCTTTAGCCAACCTTTTACTCGATAATGATTACGCAAATATCATGGGCGATTTTAATATTAATGTTTTAGTGAACGACGGCCGATCCGAGATACTGAGTCCTTTGATCTGTCTCAGTTAGTGAAAGAGCCCACACGTATAACTTCCAAAAGTCAGACAGCTATAGACTTTCTCATGGTTAGCTCTGCTGATATAATATGTGGTTATGAAGTTGTTGACGTAGATGGAATATCTGACCATCTGGCCCTAATATTTTATGTAGATGCATCGGAGATGGGCAACCTGTGTAAGCTAAGGACATATCGTGATTACACTACCTTTAGTCTAGACAATTTTTACCATGATTTCCTTTTAATAAACTGGGATTTTATATATACATTGAGAGAGGTGGATCAAATGATTGACTTCCTGAGCTCTAATATCTTGTGCACCTTCAACTGGAATGCTCCTGTCAGAGAAATTCGTGTTACCAAGCCACCACAGCTTCTTGGCGAATATTCAACATAAAACTCATGATGCGAACAAAAAGTGACGCATATAAAAAAATTAAACGTACAAGAATGATTGCTGACTGGGAATTCTATAAGGAAATCAGAAATTATGTTTGTGGTGCTATTAGGTGAGAGAAAAAAGCCTATCTTGATTATGTTATGAGACAGAAAAATTCGAAGACCAGATGGAATATACTCAGATCTTTGAATATCGTTAAACATAACTCCATAAGTCACCTTCACATCTTCAGGATCTCGATTCATTTAATCGTGCTTTTTTAAACGTACCTCGAATAACCACAACATTAACCCAATTAAACCTTTTAGACAAATATGAAAACGTCAAGAATAATGGTACTTTTCTGTTCACGACAGTTTTCCCTGCCACTGTAGAGAAATTTAACAATCGCATCAAAAGTCATGCTAAAGGCTCTGATGGCATCACAATTGATATGATCGGCATTTGCTCAAGTATATTACCTTCATTATTAACTTTTGTATAACAAATCATCTTTATTCTGGAAGAATGCTCTTGTTCTCCCTCTGCCTAAGTCTAATTATCCTTCAAGTTTTTCTGATCTTCGTCCTATAAGCATTTTACCAAGTCTATCTAAGCTTTTGGAACTGGCTCTACATGAGCAGCTGCACACATTTGTTTGTCAAAATAATCTACTGGCCACCTCCCAATCTGGCTTCAGACCATTACATAGCACCACCACTGCGCTCCTGACTATATCGGATAATATTTATAGCGCGGCTGATCAAGGAAAGCTGTCTTGCTTAGTGCTTCTTGATTTTAGCAAGGCCTTCGATGCGGTTGACCCAAATATTCTTTGTAAAAAGCTTAGATACTTTGGCCTGTCCTCATCGCCTTGCGCGCTGATTAGAAGCTACTTAACTGATCGCTCACAGTCTGTCATATATGAAAACAATATATCAACTTCTTTATTCAAAAATTTTGGATCTATTTTGAGTCCTCTTTTATTTGCTCTTTATATATGTGATTTTCATGAAACCGCCAGCTACTCAATCGTCCATCATTACGCCGATGATACCCGACTTTATAACAGCTTCGATCCTGATGAATATATGCTTGGCCAACATCAAATTAATCAAGATCTGCAGTCTATTTTTGACATATCTAGTGCTCAAAATCTAAAACTGAATGCTGGCAAATCTTGCTGCATTTTATTTGGGCCCAAAAAGAATCGTGAAATAAATCAATATCGCATTAATATTATGGTGAATAATGAAGACATATCCTTCGTAAACGAATGCAAACACCTCGGTATCTGGTTTGACTGCTCGCTACGTTTCACTAAATATGTTAACCAACTATGCAATGCGTCCTATAATGTGCTTCGTCAGTTATACCCGAGTCGGAGTGTCCTGTCCACACAGCTCAAGCTTAAACTCTGCGAATCCCTTATCCTGCCAAAACTATCTTACCGTGACTCTGTTTATGGACCTGCTCTCTTACAACGTGATGCCGAGCGGATTCAGATGATATAAAACTCATGCATTTCTTCTTCTTATGGAATCCGTAAATTTGATCATATTAGTAGCGCTTTTGACCAATCGGGATGGTTTAAGATGAATAAATTGAGGAAACTGCATTGCCTGTCTCTGGTACATAAGACCCTTCTCCTTAAAGCGCCATATTATATTTATTCAAAGCTAAACCTCCTATGTCAGTACGATCAATGATCCTCTAGGAATAAACGAATCTTACTTATCCCGCGCCATTCGACAGCATTGTTCACACGTAGTTTCTCGTACTGGGCACCCAAACTATATAACTGCTTGTCAAGTGAGTATAAAGAATATAGCCTAAGCAATTTTAAAAAAAGGTTAAAGATGAGTTTAAAGCAATCGGATGGCTAGAATTCAACTTTACGCATATAATGATTGTTTCCTTTTTCAGAGAAGTGTAATATTTTAAACTTTTCTCTTTTTCGTGGTCAATGTTGTGAAATCTGCCATTTAAATGTAGGTATTTTTTTTTCTCTTTATAGGTTGTGTCAATGTTTTTTTAGGTCGGGTTGAAAAACGGCATTAGCTGACACTCCACCTTTTCGTCACTATTCCTTTTGAGCCAATTATTTTGTAATCATGTGACGAATAAAGGCCATTTATTATTATTATTATTATTATTATTATTATTACTATTATTATTAATATTATAATACATATATTTATATATATATTTCTAATTCGAGTAGAAAAGTATTATCTTGCTAGTTTTACCCAGGGAATCGTTGCTCTTGAATACTTAGGAAACCTGAAAGACCTACCAGTTTCTCTTGTATTGTAATGCTTATAATATATATATATATATATATTTACATATATATGTATATATATATTTCTAATTCGAGTAGAAAAGTATTATCTTGCTAGTTTTACCCAGGGAATCGTTGTTCTTGAATACTTAGGAAACCTGAAAGACCTACCAGTTTATCTTGTATTGTAATGCTTGCAACCATATGCGCCCAACAAAGCACCATCTACTGTACTTCTGTAACAAGTAAGCAATTTAGACCAAAATCGATGTGCGTGCCAGGCAGACCTGCCTGACTTTGGCCTCCCGTCCTAACCGTGTCGAACTTCCATAACTGGCCGATACGACCGCTCTTTTGTCCTGAAGGTGTCAAGATTGTGGAACAATCTACAAGACGGAACTTTTCCCGGTCCTACTAACCTTAGGCAATTTAAAAATCTGAATAACAAAATTTGGTGTCCCGGCATTTTGGCTTCTGCTTGCGCGGCTGCTTCGGTATAAAAAAGGCCTGGGGCGCTCTAATTTATCCGACTTCATTCTACAAAAGGCTACCTTGCAATATTGCTTATATAACATAAGGCAAAAATAGTCTGACGAAGTCAGCTCTCCCCACGAAGACTAGAATCTTTAGTCTTCGTGGCCCTCCTTATCCTTCGTAGCTAACGGCGGTTTCTTATTCCGATAACGGAATACCAAGGTTTGTCCTACTACAGAAAATCGAAATATGGATGGTCATAACGAAACAGTAAAGCAAGATCGCTAACAGCTCTGTAATGCTAACGTTCCTCGAGCTCCCAACAGTTAGTATGCGGAACATTATACACTTCCAAAAATGGCCTTCAATTCTAATCCCCTCTCAGTGTTCCGTGTTCTATGGACGCCTCGAATTCTGTCAACATAACAGCATCTGTCACAATTTTCAAGATGTTCTGCGGGTGTCTTTACATTTTCAAAATCTGTTTGCAAAATGTTATCAATAACTGTAGACATTTATATTTAACTTGTTATACAACCCAAAAAAATTATGTAGGAGTATATTGTGTAAAGATAACTTGATAATGTAATAGGTGATTGGATCACCAGAAACATGGTTGATAATGAGCAGAAAAAGGAAAAACTATCCCATTATGATTTTGCATTTGCTGGAGGCCTTTCCGGCTTCATAACGAGGGCGTTGTGCCAACCTTTAGATGTTTTGAAAATCCGATTCCAGCTTCAAGTAGAGCCGATTTCAAACAATGCAGTTTCGAAGTACAGATCTGTGTTTCAAGCAGTAACATTGATACTGAAAGAGGAAGGTATGAAGGCGTTTTGGAAGGGGCACATTCCAGCACAGTTTTTGTCTGTCTCATATGGAGTCGTACAATTTTGGTGCTTTGAAGCACTGTCTAAAGAAGCTCATAACCAGAAATTACTTAAAAGTTTAGTCCCAGTTATAAATTTTTCTTCAGGCTTCATAGCAGGTTAGTTTCCAATGAATTCAAATTATATATTCCACTCTAACTGTATTCTAACTTGAATATAGAGTTCACAGACATACTGGGCCATCAGCAGCCCTGAATTGTCAGAGGGGTACAACATTGGAGGGGCAAGACTCCATTGTTTTGCCAAATCAAACAACATATCCGTTTTAATTTCTTTTTATTGTACAATGTCTTAGCTACCACAATAGTCAAAATATCATATAATAAACTGAAATTCAAACATACATGGTTTGATTCGGTCTGACAATGTATACATGAACATGAAAACTGCAAGATAAGTTTCAGGAGTTACATTTACAGTTAGGGGCCCCATTTATATAAATTTACCTCACCTTGACCATGATCTTCAATGTCACTGGCATGGTCAAATCTATGATCACTATTGATACATCTTAGCAACAGTATGCTTTTTGCTGCTCTAATAGTATTATTTTAAATCTTATGTTGTCCTGCTATATCTATCAATAACCCCTACTTTGGGGTTTCTGAGTTCTGTAGGGGGTACAGGAGGAGCGTCATCCAGAAAGCCATTCTTTTACCTTACCTTACTTTTAGTCTTTGTGTTAATCTATACCTTACCTTACAGGGGGCCTAGCTACACTTGCATCTTTCCCCTTTGATGTAATTCGAACTCGCTTGGTAGCCCAAAGTGAACAAAAAAGAGTTTATAATAGTTTCATCCACTGTGCTCAAGAGCTGGTCAAGAAAGAAGGTCCAATGGTCATGTTTAGAGGTTTGTGGCCTACTGTGCTTCAAGTAGGACCTCATGCAGGCATTCAGTTTATGTGTTACAAATTCTTCAATGATCTGTACAAGTTAATGGCTGACTCAAGCAATACCTCATTCTCAAATAGTTTGGTTTCTGGTAGTCTAGCTGGGCTTTGTGCCAAAACATCAATTTACCCATTTGACTTGGTGAAGAAACGTTTACAGATACAAGGATTTGAGGAAGGTAGAAACATTTTTGGAAAAACTTTTCAATGCAGTGGAATGACTGATTGTTTGGTTCGTATTTATCAAGTAGAGGGGGTGCCTGGCTTTTTCAAAGGGCTTCAACCCAGTCTTATCAAGGCTGTGTGTACATCTGCTCTACATTTTAGCACATATGAAATGACCATAAAATGCATTGGTTATTTTAGAGAACAATAACAGAACTGTTATTAGAACATAAGTTTTTGTTATTATTTTTGTGATTATGTAGTCCAATATGAAATCAGAAATTAATTTCTGCCTTTCATTAGATAGAGTGATTTTTTTAAGTTATAATTTAGTGAATCCTAAAAATACTTTACTTTCTGCATGATTTTATCACTATTTTTTGGCTGTTTTTGTAAATTGGTATTTGGTATACAACTTTTATGATACAATATATCACAATATTAATTTCATCTTGCACACTCATCTACAAATATGTAGGTACATGATTTTATGGATTTTACCTCAGCATTTCTTTGAATTACAGATGCAGTATTCTAGGTAGTTGAAGGAGTTATTTTTCATGTATTATGATCAACGCAAAACTTTTCTAGTATACCAAACAATATAGAGTATTTGGTAGCTATTACTGTTAGTTGCTGAATAAATTATTTAAGTTTTTGAGTTAGTAGCAGCTGGATTTTGTTGATTTTATCACTACAAAATTGAGGAATGGCTATTATCAGATCTGCAATATACTTATTGTATGTGGAAAACAAGAGTTATATAAAATAGTTTCTAGTCATATATTTTCACACAGGGTGGCACTGAGTCAGATTTTACTATATGTATACAGTTCATTATAGTGTATCGCCCTGTGTTTTCCGGAATATACAGACAAACAACCCATTTGTATAAGACTGATATTTGTAATAATTACACTTTATGTTTTAATAAAACGTTGTTGAAAGCTATATAAAATGTTTAATTCCAACTGGACTCAAACTACAATCTAGGAATTTACTAGTCGGATAATCAATGATTGAAAAAATATACTCTAACCTCTTAAGTGGCCAGAATGAAATCTCAGAGTCGCACCCCAGATGGCCAGCTTCTTTACCACATGCGAACATATCCGTCATATCCATTACATGATCAAGGATGCGTATATATACGTTGTGGCCATTGATAATACAAACTATTTTAAGAAAGCGTATATTTACGTTTAAAAATACATGCACATAGAATTTATAAAAAAACCTAACAAAAGTATCTTTCATGGTAACTGAAGGGAAATCATTCTTCTATGACATTTGATATGCTCTTATTATTATTACATTCTACATCTGCAAATAAAATATTTTCATTAGTATTTTATAATCCAAAAATGAAAAGCAACATACCATTATTCTTTGGTGTGATATATGCCGAAACATGGGGCAGGGCACAAGCCAGTGTGACATTCTTTACACCAATATCTGCTTTCTTTCCGAATTTTTTTTTCATGACATACCTGACACCTGGAATCAATAAATTTTCATATAATTATATCATTAGCAAAAAAATATATAATTCACCTTTTTGTTGGTTTCTGCTTTGTAGTGGGTGGAATCACTGAAGGAAAGTGGCGTTCACTGTATCTTGTTGGTAATGGAGTTTTGGATCTTCTCTTTTGTCTTGAATTTGATTGATTATATTTTTCTACTAGTTTTTCACCAAGTTCTATCAGGAAATTTAGCCTTTTTAGCTTTCCTCCAGATTTTTTGTAAATGTGGTAGGAATTCAGAGTCGTCACACTCAAAAAATGCCAAAATATCTTCATATACAATTTTTTCACTCTGCTTCTGGTAGTTCCATAAAAATGCAAGTAGTTATCAGTTAGATCTACTCCGCCCATTTTACTGTTGTACTCCAGAATACATAGAGGTTTTTCAACATCGCCGGTCCTTTTTTGAATAGTTCCCATGCTTCGGTCATGTATTGTGCTGAGCATTAGGACGTCTTTCTTATCTCGCCATTTTTGAACCATAATTTTTTTTCTATAACGAGCAACAGTCTCACCCTTAGAAAGTTTCTTTTTTATGTCAGTGGGCACGCCTTTTCTATTTAATCTCATTGTCCCTACACAATCGGTTCTATTTTTTACTAATTTATCAGACAGGTCGACGCTTGTATAGAAATTATCCAAAAAGAGTCGATAACCTTTTCCTAGTAGGGGATCCATTAGTGAGAGGACTATCCTAGCAGTTACTGGTTCATTAGAATACTTTTCTCCATAGTCAGTGTCACATCCAGTGTATATTATAAAATTGAACATATATCCTGAAGAACTTTCACATAATGCAAACATTTTCATTCCAAATCTCTTCCGTTTTGATGGAATATATTGCTTCCAACTTAGCCTGCCTTTCCAACCTATCAAAGATTCATCTATTGAAACGTCTCTTTCCGGTAGATAAGTGGACATAAATTTTCCCCTCAAATGATTTAAAACTGGCAGAATTTTAGCAAGCTTTCGACATTTTGTATTTTCATTTATTGTTGAGTTATCAACAAAGTGTAAAAATTTGATCAGTAAGTGGAATCTTCTTCCGCTCATAACTTTTGGAAAAAATGGCGTTTCAATGCTATGTCTCCGGGAAAAATACATTTTATACTCTGGCTTAGGGTTTATACCTTGTAAAATTAGTAGTCCTAGAAGTGTTCTAATTTCATTTTTATTTGTTTGTGTCCATTTTCTTACCCGGGACTGTTCTTTTAATTTTCCGTGATTGTTTATAATGAATTGAACATCAAACCTATTTGTCTCTTCTACAACCAGTTCTATTAGTGCATCATCGAAAAAAGACTCAAAAACGTCCAGCACATCAGGAATATCATCTACCTGTACGCCACTGGTCGCTGTAAATGGAAAAGGTGGTCGGGGAATTCCATTTTCGGTCCAAGGCATATCAAAACTAAAATCCTCGTGTTCACTTTCAACTTCAATCTCTTCCTCCAGTACGTCATCCTCACTTTCAACACTATCTTCGCTGTATTCTGAGCTGCTTTCGGATTCATCGGAACTCGTAAAGTCATATTCATTAGTACCCGAGATATCATCACAGTCCATTTCAGAGCACGACGCCGACATATTCAATATTTTCATACAACAAAACACAGGAATTTATAGACGAAAATAAATAGTACAGCACGTGCCACGTGGTTCGCGGTATAATGACGAAAGACAAAGACAGACAAAAAAGCGCGTTTTTTTTCGCACCGGCGCATCCATAGAACATTGGACCACGCTGGGAACCATCGCATACGACTATATACGGCATAGCCATTGAAGGCACCAAGGAAAATCTGGTCGCGATTATATCCGTCATAGTCACTCTGATTAGTACTTTGAAGTCCGGATATATACGTCATAGCCACTTAAGAGGCTAATAAATTAATATGGGAGAAACGGAACTCTTTCGACGCCCCTCGTATCGAATATATTCCTGTGATTTGGGTTGGCAGCTATAGGGACTTTTCGGGGGTCAAAAATCTCCCGGACAAAACAATGAACAACGGATTGAATCTGCGCACGCGTTGGAATACGTGTCTACACATAGGAAGCAGCGTTGTCAGATGTACTTCAAGATTTCCTCAGATCACACATTTGGGTAAAATTTTGACAGTTTCAATAAAATATTGTATGATTTCACTAATATTCGTACTATTTTATTTACATGGTACACAAATTATTGCTATGTTTCTGCTTTTCACATAACACATCTCTCGTTGAAAGGTAAAGCTCAGCATTCACGAACTCATACAACCATCGACAGACGCAAGAATTTATTGGTACGGATTTGAAAGAGTACTCCGGTTACGTTAAGAAAGAGTGCCATCTCTAAAATGCTTTCGTGTTTAACACGGTTATGAGTCTAATCCCCATAAGATTATCATTTGATTACGTCGACAGATAGCGAAATAGCAACTTGGCAACAGAGTCACTTGGCAAATGGCGATTGAAAGATGAATGTTGTTGCGTCAGAGCCGCGTCATCATAAATTGCACTTGCCTCCGTTCACCGTTTAACCGTGGCAGCTTTTCGATTGAAAGCCTAAAATCTAAATTACAATGGAAATCGTACAAGAATTATCGAATCAGTACGTCCTATATATACCCGTTGCCCTGGCAATAGTAGCCGCAGTTTTGGTGTTTACTTTTGGCTTCAAATCTGCAGAACAACCACCTTCCTTCGATAAACTTTCCAGTGACGAACGGAAATCAGGTGGCAAAAAGAAGAAAACTAAAGATAAGGTAATGTTGTAGCTGTACATCTCGTCATCTTCGCGACAAACATTTTATATAAATAGTTTTTTCTATGTAGGCACCGTAAAGTGTCTCATAGCAGCATATGTTGGAAGAGATTTTTAATTCAAGTGGTTCTCTTGCTGGGTAGAAGTTACACGTGTTCAATGAAGCAGCTCATCTTGATAAGTTTAAAATTAGTACGGATTCTTTGAAAATACGGGTCAGGAATAATATTGGCAGTAAATGGGTCATTAAATTATATTCATGTATCACACCTGCTGAAAAATGTTACAAGACCAGTAGTAGCTCTATATTATTTTCAATGGTATATATTTGGTTTAGAGACTGGTTAGTTAAACATCGCTAGTGACATGATCACCCTACTAGGTATAATATTGCTTAACCAGTATTATAAAGTACATTATCACAACCTCTGCACCATATATAATTTATTTGGGTTTATCAAAATTTACAGTTTAAGAGGCCGCATAACATGAGCACTAGCTTTACTTATAGGATACATATATTCCTTATCCTTGGGGGTCCGCTTGGGAGGGTGGGGAGTCTATTCTTCAGCTATCCTAGTGTAAGTAACATTCAGATAAATCTCGGGTATAAAAGATAAGTATTTACATAAAAAACATAGAGAAACACATTTTTTATTTCTTTTTTCAAAGTTACTTCAACCTTGGAACTGTAATCTGGGATACATACAAATGAAAACAAATAATTAAAAACATTTGTAGCTTTTGTGCCAGAAGGCAGTTTGATAGATTCTTCTTATTATTATATAGGGTGTTACTTAGGCCTGTATCGTCAGTTGTCCCTACAATTGTAGGGTGCCTTTATGGCCTCCTTGATTGTCATAGTTTTCTACTTCTCCATGTCAGCCCTCTATTTTGAGGTTATGTCACAAACATCTATTTGCATCAAATTGTGCTTGCTTTTGAGTTATATCATGTTTTATCAGCCTGAAATTTCCTACAATTTAAAAAGAAAACATATCTTTACAATATCAGAGAGCTGACGCTGACAAGGGACAAGTGTAATCTAGAAATTTTTGAGGGAGAGAAAGCAGTATGACAATCAAGGAGGCCATAAACACGCCCTACAATTGTAGGGACGACGTGATGATACGGGCCTTAATGATAGGCCATAATTACACGGACATAGTCATAAACCAAATTCAAGTAGAAAAGTTCATATAAACATATTTCCTAAAATGTCCAGTTTTATAGATAGAGTATTTTATAGGTGGAGTGTTTAAAGATTTAACAGAGGAAAAAACTATTATGCAAAGTCAGATATGTTATTAACAACAGAACAACATCAAGATTTGATCTTATTTCAATATTTTTTTGACCCGTAAAATGATTTTATTTTTTCCTTTGAAAATTGAGGACATATATTTATATCATTAGCCTTGCAATTATGGCATATGATTAAGTAACACTCTTAACATTAACTGTACCATAGGGTACTGTCAATTAATTCTGTGACAGGTATGGTTCTAGAGTTAATGTATTGGAGAATTAAACTGAAATTTTGATGTTTAAGCAAAAGTCCACTTTAACCTAAGCTGGAGTTTTTAGGCACTCATTTGTAAATAATTATGGTCTTATTGCATGATTTTTTTATGGTAATAGGTATGATTATTATTATTCACAAATTTTTGTTTTTCACAAGTCAATGGCATCAACTTTATTATACCTGTATAATAATTATTATTCAAGACTTGTTTTCATGCTGTAATTTATTCTAATTTGACAGTTATACCATTTCCTTCTGGAATATGAATCTGTATATCTATAAAAAAGGGTCTTAAGTAGATGAAACATTTAATTTTTGAGGTTTTATTTTTTTTATACTGAAGTAGCCACCCAGGCAGATGCCTAACTGCTGGGACACCGCAGCTGCTATGATGATATATAATCTTTAATAGTCCTTAGGAATTTTCCTCAAGGGGGGATGGGTTGGCGATTCTTGGTCAGAGATAACTTTTTGATGCAGTGTACCTGTCCCAAAACTGTTTGAAGAGCAGGGGTAGCAAATTTTCTAAGGGTGGTTGGGTGATATTTTAAAATTTCCCATAATCTTACACAAGATCCTGCTAAATATGCTAATTTTAGGGTTCAACTGAATTGTCGGGGGGCCCCTGTGGGCTGATTATCGTATGAAATATCCTTTAAGAATTTTAAGTTCCTTTGGTTTTTGCCATTTTATCAGATTTGAATCTTTTACTGATAATAGCTATCTAGTTATCTTATTTTCACTGGTCAAATACTCTTATGAGCTATGACTTTTCATAGTAAAATATATTCTTATAACTTCATTTAACCTAAAAAATTACAATCTGAACCAAGTTTTCAAAGAACATCTAAATGTCATATTTTATAATTATAAAATTACTTAACCCTGCCATTGTTTTTCTCACAGAAGTCACCTGTAAATGGCCATGTAGCAACTGGAGAACTTAAAAATGAAAAGTCTCCATCCAAAGAGTCAAAGAAGTCACCTGTCAAGGAAGCTGTAGAAATTAAGCAAGACAAGAAGAAGGTTGAATCCAAACAGCCAGAAAAGGGCAAAAAGAATGAAGTCAAGAATGAAATAAAACAAAAAAATATTCAGGAAGAAGTGAAAAACAAAAAGAATAAGAAGCTCATTGAAAAACCAGTAGACTATGATGAAGGTGATTGGGAAATGGTCCCATCAAAAGCTGACAAAAAGAAGAAAGTTGAACAGTCCCCAGGTAAGAAGGACAAGAAAACTAACAATAATAAAAAAATTGACATTGAGAAAGGCGAGATTGAAAAGCTGGCTAAGGAGTTGGTCAACAAAGAGCTGAGAGAGAAAGAGAAATCCATGGAGAAAGCAGTTGAACCAGAAGTAATTGGAAAGATCTCGGAACCTGTTGTACAGGAACCTGTGCTGATTATTGAGGAGAAAAAGGAAAAAGAGAAGAAAAAGAAGGAGAAGAAGCCCAAAAAAGATGTTCCACAGAAGCAGGTGAATGTTGTCATTGAACATGTCCCAGATACTCCTACTGTAGCTCCCAAGCAGGAGAAGGTAACACCACTGAAAGAAGAAAAGGTGGTGCCAAAAGAGAAGAAGGAAGAGAAGTCTACCATTGAGGTGAAAAATGAGACCAAGAATGCAGGTCCTGTATTTGATGAATTAGGAGGTAAGTATTAGGGAATTAACAACTGGTGATCTTGCGGAGAACTTGGTTTTGTCAGAACTAGGTGTTAAAGCATCCCATAGGCACTGAACTTTCAAGACTATATATTGAAGTTTTGTTTTGCTCACAAAACCAAGTTAAAATACACTTTAGTGGGACTGATTTAAATTCCAAGTCTGCTTGATTTGCTTAATGTACAAAACTAGCATTTTACTTATTTATTGTAAGAAACAATATTCTTATCGTCACACTATATTTTTCTTGTCGGCGACAAAAATCTCAGAGTCTGCACCAATTAACCATCTTAGCTTCCCAAATCACGAGGTGCACTCTAATCTGAGAAAGAATGGGGGGGGACCATAACTGGGATGACCTACTTGAATACCTCGTCATCAAGATCGACTTCCTGAACATCAATCACCCTGCTTTAGAGGTAGTTCTTCTCGATGTTTCCAATGTCCATAAGGAGCTTTGGTTGGGCTCAAACAAGACTGATGCAGCAGGTCTTACTTTTTTTCCCCGCGTCTCGCCGCATGCCAGTAGCCTGCTGGATCTATTGCTGGCCACGCATCCTGTCCCTTACAGAACCCACTGTGGCAGCAGAAATTCGTGCAGACCGCAAAATTTGGCATTAAGGATATGCCGACTGGGAGGGGCTCAGAGACTTCTTCTCTACCTTTCCATAGAGAGATGTCTGTTTCACTGACGCGGATGTGTCGGCTGTCTGTTTTTCGATAACCGAAATTATCCACGTAGGAATGGAGCACTACATTCCTCACACAGTGAAAGTGCCTAAACCATGGTCCAACGGCTGGTTTAACAAATTGTGTGCCAGCAGAAGATCAAGGCACACAGAACCTTCTTACAAAACCCCACTGTATAGAACAGACAAGCCGACGTCGAGTTCAGAAACAAATATAACGAAGCGGTTTGAAATGCCAAAAACCAGCACAATATGGCTGGCCAAGCAGAGTGAAAATAACTTCTCACACAGTAGCCTTTCACCACTTACGTGTCGTGATGGAACGATTGTATGTAACTCAAAGGCCAAGGCGGAAGTGCTGACAAGATCTTTGCTGCCAACTCCAACATGGATGTCCCCCACCAACGCCCAAGTGCCGTTAAATCAAAGGGTTCCCTACACTATGCGGGAGGTAACATTCAAGCATAAGACAAGACGAGAGCTCTTGTTGCTCTACATCAACAAAGCTTCTGGTCCCGACTTGATTCCTGCCACTGTACTGAAGAGGTGTGCAGGGGAGCTTGCTCCAGTTCTTTCGAGTCTCTTCCAGATATCTTACGATTCGGGCACCTTCCCATAAAACTGGAAATTTGGTCATGTCCAACCGATCCCAAAAAAAGGATCTAAGAGCGACCCTTACAACTACAGGCCTATAGCTCTGCTTTCTGTTATAAGTAAGGTGATGGGGAGCTGCATAAAACGGGAGCTTCTGGAATACCTTGTTTAGCGACATGGTCGTATGGTTTCCGGCACCCGCGATCCATAGGGGACCTGCTAGCTTACATCACGCAATTGTGGAGTAAACTCATCCACTCTTATGGTGAGGCTCATGTCGTTGCTCCTGACATCACGAAAGCGTTCGATCAGCCGTGGAATGCTGCCCTCTTAAGCAATCATGCATCCTATGACCTCCCAGAAAAGTTTTGCAGATGGGTGGCTGACTTTATCTCTGACCGAAAGATATCCGTCGTAATTGACGGGTTCTCCCCTTCATCCCACAACGTCAACGCGGGTGTTTCCCTGAGATCAGTCTTGGCTCCGACACTGTTCCCCTTACACATCAACGACCGCCTTTCCTACACGATCAACCCAATCCACAGCTTCGCTAATGACAGAATTCTACATGCAGGAATTCATAGTAACAAGCCGATCTCTACCGCTCGGCTGGAAAAAAGAAGACTAGCGTCGACTGCCTCTATGAGGAGAGACCTGGAGGTTATCACTGCTTGGGGACGCTACAATCTTGTACAGTTTAATGCTTCCAAATCAAAGTACTGTACTTTGAAGAACAAAAAGCGACCTAGCGCTCATCCGCTTTCGATGGATGGCCGATATCTGCCAAAGAGCCATTCATTTTGGCTGGTCGGAGTCCTGATCTGTCATGAACACATCTCGTCAATAGCGGTGGCTGCTGGAAAAAAGCTAGGCTATTTGTTTATGGCTGAGGAGTACTTTTCTCCGCTTGACCTTCCAACTCTATACAAGGCCCAGATAAGGCCTAGCCTCGAGTATTGCTCACACGTTTCTGATGGTGCCGCCCCAACTACATTATTTATGCTCGATGCTGTCCAGAGTAGGGTAGTCCGACTGATCGATCACTCCTCTCTAACAGGGCTTTGCTCCTCAGAGCTCTCTTCCATGATGACGCCGCGCCTGCCAGACAGGCGCCTGACTTTGGCCTCTCATCCTAACCGTGTCGAACTTCGTACATCCAGAACTGGTCGATACGACCGCTCCTTTGCCCCGAGGGTGACGAGAGGAAGCTTTTCCCATTTCTACTAACCTTAGGCAGTTCCAAAGTCGTATTAACAAAATTTCCTTGGGATCATCAGCAGCCGCGGTGTCTGCGCGTCTGCTTCGGTATAAAAAAAATAATGCGAAGAAGAATTTTAGTTTAAATTTGCCATTTATTAGGAAGTTTTACTTAGTTTCAAAAGTGATAAAAGACGGTCTACAATGTTATAACTTTCTGGAATGAGATTTACTGGCACTATTCCCTAGTAAATATGAATAAAAAAGATATTCATGAAACACATCTTTGTGAAACATAGATTAGAATAATTAAAACAGTGTTCTTCAAAGTCTTGTCTATCCACTTAGGACTTGTTTTGAATTCATTTTATGTGTTTCTCTGTATGATGTCTTTCAGCAGTAATTTAAGAATCACTAAAAAAGCAAAACTGTAGGTTTTTATAGTTAGTGACCACTTTTTGAGAGTCTAATGATTTACATATTTCTGAGTTTATTTAAATGTCTAAAGCCGCTATAATTTTCTAGATACTTGGACAGAAGCCAAGCAACCGAAAAAGAGCAAGAAAAAGGCCCGTAGGGACAACTAGAAAAACTATTCTCAGCCTAACCCGTGAAACGAGTTTCATTCTAACTCTGCAAATACCTGATGCTGAGTCAGGTAAATGTGATTACAACCCCAGAAAAGTGCTAGGAGATTAGATCTCATAACCAAAAAGACTCATGCACACTGAGAAATGCATTGAAGCTACCTGAGGTTGGATAAAATCTCTGCTCAGGGTGATACTTTTAGGTAAATTCTTAGGACTCGTGGTTCTGTGATAAACGTAGATTTTTCAACCTTTGTAAGATTACAGTTAAAATATGTAAAGTTTTGAATATCCTCATTTTTGGCTGAGTTTCAAATAGCACATTGTTGAAATCTGTTTATGTATAGAATGGTTGAAGTTCTGCCTGAAATTATCATCTTGAGATTTGATTGATACCAGAATGGCTTCTGGAGACTAACATGAGATGTCACTGTGTATAAATTCGAGGAGCTTGTTAGTTGGGTTACTAGGTATTTCACCAGAAAAAAAAAATAAAAAAAAACTTATTTTTAATATAAAATACATTTTATTTTGTTTACTATTTTTCCAAAAAATAATCTAAGATGTAAATGACATGTAAATTGCTAGTTACTGCAAATAGGTGCATAATAAGGCATTTGACTGACTGTCAAAATAAAAATATCCTGCATTCCATCATCTAATAGTATAAGTGTAATCATAAATTCTAGCAATGTGCCAAACAAGCATGTTAAATCATATTACTAAAAATCAAACATTCTAACCTATCCAATGAAAATGTATGGCCTTATAGCATGGCATATTTGCAAATGAATGATATATTTTTGCAATGAAGTTCAAAAACGATAGTTTTACGGCGTAGTCTTCCACCCTTATTTGGGAAATCGTTCGTTTTTGCACCGCCTCTGATTACGGATGAATTTTGTACATCATCATCGTGAAAACTGGTCAAAGCCACGTGCTACCAATTTTTGATCTGGAGCATCGCAAATCGCTGATGTTCAGTTTTTTTCGCCTCTTAGCTTTGTCAGCATCCAAGAGTCGCTTTTTAGGCTAAGGTGAGCACGTTCGGATTTCAGGGCAATTACCATCCATATAGTGGCTCCCATTTTTAAATCATCCCTTGTAGGAGTTAAAAGATCTCATCAAAAATCATTCGAAAATCAGCGGCGGGTAACGAAGTATTACCCTAATTTGATGTTTATTTTTCTATTAGCGGCTTATTCTGGAAAGATGACAGTACTGTTATGGAATACAATATTATATTTTACCTATAGCTTAAATTAGATATATCTTGCCATTGAAATAAAGACTGAAAGGGAATATACAAAAAACTTCTGTTTGCATCAGTCGCGAAACCAGTATTGCTGGCATCTTCTATATACAGGATGTGCCAAAGATAACATCTGTAGGCTTCACAAAAATAATTTCAAATCTATTTTACGACTGCCTCAAAACTTCAAGCAGCCCAAAATATATTCGTCAAATATCTTTGATTATATTGCAAGCTAATCCATAAGTGCTTCTTAAAAACGAGTATAATAAAACAGCAGAGCCGAACATTATTTTTCACCGCCCTCATATTTTATTGTTTCCATGCCTCATACACAAAAATCATCAAATTTACACCCAGCCATGATCTAGATCAATGTGATAATAAGCAGATCTCCGATACTTCTAAATTGGTTTATTATTATTGTTGTGGAGTGTACATTTTGCTTCAATGTGGAAGTATTTGATTTCAATGTGTATTAGCTAGTATGTTAGTGGATCTTACAGTATGTTTTTTCAGATTTTTTAAATTTTTAAAACTATGATCTCCATATGAAATGTACTTTAAGATCATGTCTTATTTGAAAAAGAAAAAAACGGATCATTTGCGTTTGTTATTATAGCAGTATCTACATTCTATTTATATCAAATATTTATTCATGATTATACTAAGAATATCACACTGTAAAAATATATAACATTTGACCAATAAAGGATTGAGCCACAAATGGCAAAACCTTGAGGATAGCATAAACAAATAATACCCGTATTATAAATTTATAACTTTTTAACAACGGAATTATAGTTCATTTTCAATTTTCTACTGTTCAGACATGTTATCATTTTGCTAGATTGCACCAATGTTTAGTCATCCTTGCTAACTACATATTAATTTAACACTTTGTTAGCATTTTACTATCAGTTGTTTTAAAACAAACGATTCATATAATAATTACTACCAAGATAACGTTACAACATTCAGCGATATCAAGGGTGCCGACTGGAATTCAAAATAAATATTTAATATTATGACATCTTTTATAATTATTATTGTTCATGTGTATTGTACTTAGCAACTGATTAAATACAGGCCTCAATTAATACTGTTAAAAAAATATTTTTACCACCATCTTATATTTTTGTAAAAGTATCAGAAGTGTCTCTGGGCAGTTTTTGATTTACTTTTCTCTCAAAATCATCTAATAATTACAATCCAGAGGTTATAGCAGTGGCATGCTGTAAGATCAAACACCAGATGAGTTTATCAATGTGGCCTTTGACGCATTTTGTATTAATTTTTTTTGGCATTTAATGTATTTATTTTTTATTATGTGGTGTACTCATCTTTCCATTTGTAGGATAGTGTTAATTGTTTGAATATGATTGTAGTTAGTATCAAATTATTTATAAATTTAGTGCTGAGTTTATTCACCGGCCTGTCAACCATTGAAGTTCAATTGACTGAACTGACAGTTAAAGAAGGCTTGCAAGAGTTCAAGGATATGAGTGCATAACGAAACCAACACACTCTTTCAATACTGAAGAGAAGCTAGCCTAAATTGGTAATAGAAAATTTCTCTATGAAAATCAGCGATGTGTTTAAACATTCAAACAGAATCACAGCTGTCAGTTTAGCTCTGCAAAATAGTTGACTTCAGAAATGATTAGTTAATTGAGTTTAGTCCACAATTATTATAATCGATCTTTCATGTGCAACATAATAAGATATCAGATGGTCTCATTTTGCTTCTAACATATATCTTTTCACCCTGATCTACTAAAGGTTTTTTTTTTATTGGGTCTGAAATTTAAAATTGAATAAATCGAGTTGTGTGCGACATATGATGGAAACTTTAATTGCGTATTAAAGTACATTCAATACCATTACGTTGTAAAAATTACATAATTCAAATGGCCTCCGAGGCTTTGTTTACAGGACTCGATCCTGCATAAGTAAGGCTGGATTACACCAATGGTTTGAATGATGTTGTTCTCCAGTTGGTGAATTGTTGTTGGTTTGTTGCGAAAAACCAGCGACTTGAGATAACCCCAGAGAAAAAAGTCTCAGGGCGTTAAGTCGCACGATCTTGGCAGCCATTCCATATCGCCTCTTTTGGAGATAATGATTTACTACAATGTGTATTGACAACACTGTATCGACCCCTTGACCATAGGTTATACATATAACCTATAGAACTATAACAAACTCTAAAATTTGAATATTTTATTCAAGATTACACTCTAGATGTTTGCAACATTCAATAAGACAATAATATGATAAATTAATTAAGCATATATAGGTCCAGTACATGCTATTTATCCGGTTGGTGTTTAAATGTGTTACTGAACAGGGTTGCCAGTAAAATTGTAGAATTGCTAGAAGGGGGGTCTTTCATATTTTGTTTGTCGCTTAATAATTCTCGTTGCACCTATAAACAAAATATTTTCCTATATTCTTAATCTGTGTCGACTATGTTGAGTTTGTTACATGATTTATTAATTGTGTATTGTAAATAGGTTTGTGCTTTGAATATTTTTATGCTGTTCACATATTTTAGCTGCTATTGTATGTATAACTAATTTGAGCATCGTGCTGTTTGTTTATAATAAAATAAAAAAAAAATACAAAAATATCTATATCAATAAGTTAGTTTGACAATCATTGTCGGGCTTTAGTTAATTTTTTACATTGGACGTTTTATCTTGTACATACAATGTTTGTGCATTATCTATGTGGTCATTGTAAATGGTTTTGTATTTTAGGTCAGTGGAATGTTATCTTTTGGGGACCATTTTCCAAATATATTTTGAAAAGTGACATTTTGTATTATTTTGTTTCCCCTTGTTTTCACGTGCCGGTATTGTAGGATATCAATAAAAATCCAAACAAAATCACTTATAGGCTGATTACACTGTTCGGCATTCCGAAAATTTTTGTCGCTTTCCGAAATTTCGGTTTTTTTTACTGTGTTGTACTGAAATCTAATATGCGGTCAGTTCGTCCCCATCACCCAAATCCCAAATTATAAGCGATCTAGTGGTGATTTTTTAAAAATAATAAAATAAATCAACTTTTCTAGAAGATATTATTGTATAAAAAAATAATCAAACAATTTATTTGGTTGTCTTTTTTCGCTTGTATTCGCCGGGAGCGGTTTCACGTTTAATGGTCCAGCAGTAGTCCGCCAGCATGTTTGGAGTCCATTTTCCACTATAGCTCTTCTTCATCTGAGCAATTTGCTGGTGAAATTTTTCGCCGTGCTCGTCCGAAACTGCACCCAAATTGTCAGGAAAGAATACTAAATGGGAGTGAAGAAAATGCAGCTTAAGTGACATATTGCAACCTAAGGCATTATAAGATTGGATAAGTTCTTCAACTATAACTTTGTAGTTGTCCGACCTTTTGTTGGCTAGGAAGTTGCTACATACATTTTTGAAGGCATCCCATGCACTTTTTTCCTTTCGCGAAAGTGTAGTTTTAAAATTTTGGTCTTTAAATACTTGTCATATTTGACGTCCAACAAAAATTACTTCTTTAAGATTGGCTCCACATATACGCTAGAATTTCCGTCTCAAATAAATGAATGCATTTCCTTGTCTATCTAAGTCTTTCACGAAAATAGGTGGTAAATAAACTTTCTGCTGATCTACTAAGGGTAGAACATTTTTACGTAACGGCCAATGTTTAACTAAATAATGTTGGTTTCTGGCTCTGCTGTCCCATTCACATAAAAAACAGAATTTTGTGAAGCCACCATGCAGTGCTGTGAGCAATGCAATAACTTTGAGACCGGCGCAGATATTCCACTTATGATCTTCGTATTTCATGATCTGGAGTAATATGCGCATGTTCTGGCACGTTTCGTTCATATCTACAGCATGACCAACGGGAACTGATGGCCTTTCGTTTCCATTGAACAACAAAACTGCCTTTAGACCTGTGTTCGAAGAGTCAATAAATAGTCGCCACTCGGTAGGTACATAGGAAATGCCATGTTCATTCAGTAAACCTGGAATATCAAGACAGTAAACTAAGTCTTTTTCCATCGAGAAAATACGGCCAGCATAGACTGCCTGTTCCGAAACGAGGAAATTTTCATACCTGTTTTTAAAAGGTTCCATTGCTGCAAACGAGATCCAAGTAGTTGTGCTTTTCTTTTTGGAAGATCTAAATCACGAACTAGATCATTGGGCTCTCCCTGTGATATAACATGTTGCTATTTGCTGCTACTACATTCGAAAACGACTTCCTCTTCAAAACTTGGACCGGCTTCTGGCTCCTCCGTTTCAGAATTATCTGGTTCATCATATTTCTTTGGAGGCTTAGAAACAGGTATGCTAGAAGGTTACAGGTACAGGTCTACTGGCAGAGAGGGGATATTAAGATACACTATTTTATGCTTGCTTTTACTAGAAAATCACAGATTTTTTTAAACAAAAGTATCATCATGATTCTCATGTTCAAATTTCATAGAAGAGTGACTATTACGTAGCCATGCTGCTAAGGTTCTTGAGCCAGTGCGGCAGCATGTTTTGGGAGCCCAAGTTTTGTCTTGATCTACAACTATGAACCCGAAATATAACTCGTAGGCTTTTCTTACAAGTGGGCTCAATGTCTTTCGCCGAGCTTCCAGATCCAGATGGTTCACACAGGATCGCAACAGCATTGCTTCGCTCATACATCCGCTGCTGAATACCGTAATGCTTATCCTCCGACAAGCGGCTGGCTGCTATATGCCCATCTTTTTTTTTTCTTGAAATAGCGGGAATCAAGAGATCGGAAACGATTTTTGTATACAGGGGCCATTCAATAAGTATCTGTCCGACGATAATAGGGTACGGTGAAATCTGGAACTAAACAACAAAAATAAAATTAAACATTCAATAGGACAACGTTTCGAGGGATGATCATAACCTTTTAATTTTACTTTCACGATTTGCAGCGACAAAATACTTTAAATATTCCCCAATGCTTTTGAGGTGCACGTTGCTTCAAAAAATGTAGGAGGATATTTGATAAAAAACAAGGATCTCACTAGGAAAGTCTCCAAAGACTTATTTTTCCGTTTTGAAGTAAAGTATATCTTTCCATATATTTTATGACCCATCACAAAATATACATGTATAGTTTATCTGAAGTCACTTGAAACACTGTGAAATACCGGGTGCGTATTATATATCTATATTTAACACGCTCTGTTGCTGCAAAAATCGCCAAATTTCGCAGCAAATATATATAAGATCAAAGGCAGTTTCACCGGTCCACGTGGAGTAAAGCACGCCTATGCGTGGACATAGCCAATGAGAAAGCGTGTATTTCATAGCTCCGAAAAAGTGCAGGTGGCTACTGAAAATTGAAACAGTTTAGCCAGTGACGTGTAGCGGTGAATAAACGTGTTTTCTTTAGTCTGTCCGTGTTTTTTCATAGATTTTATTAGTTTGTGTGTTTTTGACTTTTGAATACTCAGTTTACTTGTTGATTTAATTGTTGTGTTGATTGTTCTTGTGTGTCCTAAATATGGCTCTTTGGAGACCTTGGGAAAATGCTCCAAGCCACGAGGAGATGGTTGATGAACCTGTGCAGGCAGAATTCTTTCATAAAGATTTAGAGGAACAGACCCAAAGAGTAATCCTAAATATGTATGATTGTTTGAAAAACGAAAATCCAGATTCCTCGCAAAATCAAATTTTAAACAGAATTTGTATCCTGACAAAAATCAGTCGGTCTACCATTTATCGGGTTATAAAAAGGGGAGATGTAGTCAACCATTCCTTCCACAGAAAGCGCATAGGGCAAAAATTAAAAAGAATAGACGTGGGTTTTCAGGAAGATATTCGTCGTATAATATACCGATTTTATAAAGAAAATTTGGTGCCCACGTTGGAAATGATACGGGATAAATTAAAAGATTATCCTGAAGATTTTTATAATTACAAATGCTTAGACTCACTGCACTGTATTGTAAAACTGTGTGGTTTTCAATACAAAAAATTAGATAAAAGAATGGTGATTATGGAGTCGTCTCGAATCGTTGAATTGCGCCAAGAATTTTTGCACAAAGTTAAAATCTATAGAGAGCAGAAAAGAAATCTGATTTACCTGGATGAAACGCGGTATGATACCCATGATGTTGTGAAGTACGGCTGGGTTGACGACAGCAACAAGTGCATTTTAAATGCACCATGCAACCGTGGAAAACGAATCATTATTCTTCATGCTGGCAGTGAAAATGGATTTATACCTAATGCCTTGCTGTTATCTGCCAAAAATATCAAAGAATCATGTGCCGACTATCATGAGGACATGACCTCCGACTTATTTGAAAAGTGGATAGAGCAGCAGTTAATACCAAACATTTCCCCAAATTCAGTGATTATTATGGACAATGCGCCATACCATTCCCGACAGAAAAACAAAATTCCGAATACAGGCACAAAAAAACAAGACATTATGGATTTTATGAAGGATAAGGGAATGGAAATACCACAAAAATCAACAAAAGCCATATTATTGGATCTTATTAAAAGACAAAAATTTGAAAAAGAGTATGTTGTTGACAATCTGCTTCAGCAAAATGGCCATGAAGTATTACGTCTACCTCCCTATTACTGCATTTTTAACCCGATTGAGTTGGTCTGGGCTGCTTTAAAAAAAAAGTAAGAAAACATAATCAGACCCCTCAATTAAGTGAATCGCTATTGGCCACAATAAGAGATGCAGTATCTCATATTGCTGCCACAGACCTATGGAAGCAGTGTTCTAGGCATATTATTGAAAAAGAAAATGAATATTGTGTTTTGCCTCATGTAAATCCCGTTGTAATTCCTCTACAAGATGACTCTAGCGACAGCTCCGAAGACGAGGATGATATATAAATACCTATAATGTAAGTCTTTATATACCTTTTTATATACCTACCTGCTATGTAAATATTTGCCTATGTCAAACGTTGGAATTCTGAAATTTTTCCATTTCTTAACTTTCAGTCAACATAAATTAAACTCCCAATATAAGTATTTTTTATCCCAAATCAAAAAAAATAAGAAGATAGTAAAATCCATTTATTGTGATATAAAAACATTATTATTATCGTTCTAAATAAATCACCGCACGCCTATGATACGTCATGAAATTACAAAGGACGCGCCGACTAAAAGTTTTTATGCTATTTCAAGTGACTTCAGATATACCATACATACACAGTGCTTTTCAAGGAGATCCCCCTACTTATCTTTTGAACGAGTCAAGTTAGGAAGCTAACATATAGAGTGGTGTAATTTATGCATTTTAAATATAAAAATAATAGTATAAAATTTCAAAATGGCGGCTTGGCGCCATCTTGTAATTTTTTTTAATGGAATGGAAACTTTATTTGGAAACTCTTTATGAGTACCTACTTTATAATACTAGAATATAAAATCACTACCATACAAAACAGCAAACTGTCGGGCTGTCAAAGTTGAGCGTTTTTGGATATTGAATCGAATATATGTAACTCAACAAATAAGATCATCAAAACGTTATAGTATGTTATACCAATCTTCTTCTTTTGGAGTGGTCTACCTGAATGTCAAGTAAAATATACGACATCCAGGTTGCAAAGAATTGACAGATTTTGATATTTTTTTAAATGGAATGTCTCATATTTTGTTATGTATTCGGATATAGACACTCCTATGAGAAGCACTTTGGTATACTATATTGATTTGATGTTTGGTTGTTGGTTTATAAGCCGCTCAATATACAAAAACTATCAAATAATAACTTTGACAGTCTTCCAGTTTGCCATTTTGAAAGATGGTGATCTTATATTCTGGAGTTTTAAGCCTTTAAAATGAGTTATAACACGATCCCCCATTCCATTGAGAAAAAATGTGCCAATATGGCCATCGTGAAACCTGTATCTTTTACGATAAAGTATGTATCAAATTTTTTATCCGCAATTTTATCTTTCTGACTTCCTCGTTCGAAAAACTATTACAGGGCTTTTTGAAAAGCACTGTATCTCTCCTGTTCCTCTTACATACGCCACTGATTGAGATGTCACAAATACTTGTTAAGTTATCCTGTTCTTATTAATGATGGAGATCACTATCCATATTATTGAATTCGTATCCGTTTGTTTTTGAGGCAGACCTTTGCTTTCTTGAATGTTAGTAAAATACAATGAAACTTTCAACCATATATTTACATAATATCACAATTCAAAATGCCATCAACTGCTCAAAGATACGCAATCGGAGCGGCAGCAGCGACGTAAGGGGCGGCATACGGAACAGCGTATGGGGCGGCGTATGCTACAGCAGGGGCGGCCACAATAGGGGCAGAGTATCCTCTGACGAAGGACTGGTGGCTGGTGGCGGTAACAACTGCGGCCGGGGCGGCAAGGAGTCCGGGTTTTGCTTTTGGTTCTGGATCTGCAGAGCAGCTGGAGATGGCCATGATGGCGAAGATCACAAACTAAAGAGGAACAAAAAATACTGTAGGAAAGACAAATAATATTCATGATAGATATAGATAGTAAAGGGCAACCTCGACCATATAGTCTTGGCTGTGTATCAGTAGCTTTTATAATTTTTTCTCACTAAAACGTATGTGCAAAGTCCTGTTGAACAGAACCTTGCGTAATATGACTAACATCTCTTGAAATGTCTACAGCGAAACCCTTCATAGAAACCTCGACATCGCTAATCCAAGGGACTTCGTCAAGTCACAGGCGTAGCGAGGCCAATATAGTCAGGCGGACTTGCACATCAACTCTTTGTTGCGGGAGTCAGTGTACTACATAGTCTGGCAAGTTCGCGGCTTGCAGTGTGAACAAAATTAAACCGTGCAATTTTAGGTCTAAAACAAAATTACAATTTATCCATGACAACTAATCTCTAAATTAACTTTTGGATCAACTTAAAATTGCCGAATAGAGGTTAACAGCTCCAAGACACCCCTCCAACCGACGCTATCGCACTCTTCCTCTTCCTTCCTGCTTTTCTTCTTATCTTGTCTCTCCCTGGTTTTGTCTGGCATATGGGCAACTAGACTTGGCTTATCTACTGACCTACAAGGCTATTACCGAGAGCAAAGGTCCAACGCACCACTCTGACAGACTGAGGAATACAGAGAGAACGGGATAATACCTTCACCAAAAATATCAAAGACTGCGATAGTGTACTTCAAAGGTAGTATTCCTAGTTACGCGTTATAAAAATGGAATCGAGTTAATTGATGTTATACATCTAAGCATTTTCTGGTTATAAGCATTTGAAAACAAAGACCTAAAAGCGTCTTTTAAATTAAGAAGTAGCAGAAAATAAACAACTTGATTTCATGAAAACGAGCAATGGATAACTTAGATGTTATTTTTTTAATCTCTATATCTGCTGTTAGAATTATCAAAATATGAAGCCACATAGTGCAATTTCCAAACTATTAGATCGCGAAGTTTTACGGAAGATGTAGCTCGTACCTACTACTTTTTATATTGTTTGTGGGCCGTGAAAGTCTGACTGTTCTTTACAAAACGTGATTGCGTCGGTATAATCAATTGAAAGTTTTAGAACTCGCAAAGGAATTTTTGACTACCCTCCAAGCAAAACGTTATTAAGTGAAAAGTTGGAGAACTTGTGGAACGTTACATTTATACCAGGCAACGTTTCTGTAAGTTAACCTGTGGAACCGAAAAGGTAGGTTCTATGAATATATTGTTATTAGACGTTATTTTTATAAACCGCTGAAAAATGATTTCTTAGTAGATCAAAGCTTTAGCGAATATGACAATTTTTTTTCTTAAATTGGATGGTTAAATGGAAGAACAGGTCTGTGTCACTGCAGTGGTGCACATCTGAACTTTGCACTTCGCCAAACTATCTTCTTATCAAGAATAATAGCATCCCACAAACCGGCGCGAAATATTCGCTTTGCCTGCGAAAATTTCGCGGCGATGAATTCGCGATCAGATTAAAACGCGTCGGTTTACGGACAGGCTCAGACTTGTGCGAAGCGAATGCGATTGTTCCAGCGTTTTTATCGCTGCGTATTTCAGTTCGCCTTTGACCGCGTTTTTGACGTCTGTTAAAGTCTGCTTATAAGGAAATGGTCTCATAAGGTATGGTTTTAAAGCAAATGCTTCATCACCAATTAAGACGTACGAGCAGATTTCATTTTGCCCAGGGAGAAATCTAGGTGCAGGGACACTCATTAAATTTTGTTCAAATCGTTTTCCCATGTTTGAGGTTTCGAAAATACCCCCATCACTATTTTTTCCGAAACCACCAATATCAACACATATAAATTTATAGTCCGGGCCAACAATGGCCATAAGTACTATTGAATATTTATGTAAATAGCACCAGTAATTGGAGCCACTGTTGTTAGGTCTCTTGATTGTTACATGTTTACCGTCCACGCTGCCAATGCAATTGGGAAATCCCCATCTATTTTCAAATTCTTCAGCACTTTTTTTCCATATATTCTCTGTTGGTTCTGGTAAATATATATGCTCCATATGTCTGCATATCGCTTCACAGACTTCGGTTACGATTGCACTCACTGTTGTAAAGCCAACTCGAAAGCTATGCCCAATGGTATAGAAGGTGTCACCAGTGGCAAGGAATCTATAAAAAAAATCGTTTTTAGGTGATGAAGTAAAAAAAGGTGGAAGAATATCAGAGACACATTTGCAAAATATATAAAATCTACCAAACCAAAGACCGGCCAAGCAGTGGGCAACATAAAGAAATGGCAGTGGGCTGACTACATGGAATTTTTCCGTCCTTTTTTGGCATTTGCCAAAACGTCGTCTAATGTGAAAGATATTGACGTCATACATTATGAGACTGCCGAATTTAACTCAAATATATATCAGGAAAGGGCTGGAAATGTAGAAACCGAAAATTTGGAAGACCACGGCCATGGAGAAGATGAAAATGCTGATGTAGATGCAGAAGATGCACAGAACGCCTCGGCAACACAGACAGCACCACCTTCTTCATTGAACACTACAGCAGTGACTACTCCAGGGCATACCTTTCCGCAGACTGCAACTACACCAAAATATAAAACGAACAGAAAACGCTATGAACCACCATCTTCGTCTGTACAACAGCTCATTGATTATTTTGAAGGTAAAAAACCTAAAAAAGAGAACGAGGCCATTGATTCACTTTTCTTGGCACATGCACAGACTGTGAAAACACTTCCCTTAAAGCGTCAAGCCCGAATAAAACTAAAAATAGCCGAATTAATAGCGCACGAAGAATTTGAACATATTGAAGAAATGTCTTCAGCGTCTACCCAGAATTCTGCAAGTATGTATGATAGTAGTATGTCGTCCTTCCCAAGCGGCACTGGGTTTACTCCAATAATATACCCAACAGAGGAGGCAAATTCTGCCTCGAATTATTTAGCAACATTTGATCCTAGTGGCAAAATGTAGTCCAATTATTACAATAAAATATTTATTTCACGATCCCTGAAGTTTTCGTATTCGATAAGCCTACTAATTTTAATACATATAATTTTTTTACCTGAGTGTAATAGCAAGTCGTTCTTCTGGCGAAATAGCTTCACGATAATTTGTGTCAGATTTTCGTATTTCATCTTTCACCAAGTTCAATATTTCATCGAAACACTCTGGAGTCATTCTAAAATATACGTAAAAGCGCTGTTCATCCAGCCGAAGTTGTGGCATCAAGGTATGGTATTCCCCAAATTTATTTCGTTCCAAGTTAATATCATGTACCCACTTCCTTCGTTTCCTAAACAAAATTGAAAATATTTGTTTTATGTACTTCGTTAAACTTAATACATACCCAACTATCAAATGGCGTTAAATAAACATAAGTTACCGTGCATTTTGTTCCTCTTCTAAAGCAAGAAATAGAAGTGCCTCCTCTTCTTCTGAAGACGAGCTCATTGCAAAAGGCAAAAATAAAATGTACGCAACCTGTCGAAACCTTCACGTTCGCGGAGCGAATAAGACGCTTTGGTATGAATAAACAGGCGAAACAGATTGCGAATTTCGCTCTGAATTTCGTTGCGAATACTTCGCCGCGATTATTTCGCGCCGGTTTGTGGGATGCTTTAAAGTTTATTTTTTGATTGTAGGGCGCGTCTATGGCCTCCTTGATTGTCATAGTTTTATACTTCTTCGTGTCAGCGCTCTATTTTGAGGTTATGTCACAAACATCTATTTGCATCAAATTGTGCTTGCTTTTGAGTTTTATCATGTTGTATCAGCCTGAAATTTCTTGCAATTTAAAAGGAAAACATAACTTAACAATAGGAGAGCGCTGACGCTGACACGGGACGAGTGTAATCTAGAAATTTTTGAAGAAGAGAAAAGAGTATGACAATCAAGGAGGCCATAAACGCGCCCTACAATTGTAGGGACGACTGACGATACGAGCTCAAGTATTAGGATTTATTCTAAAGTGACCCAAAACTTCAACTTGAGCGGCTTCATCCAAAACTCTCCGATTAGATTACACTCGTCCCGTGTCAGCGTTAGCGCTCTCCTATTGTTAAGATATGTTTTCCTTTTAAATTGTAGGAAATTTCAGGCTGATAAAACATGATAAAACTCAAAAGCAAGCACAATTTGATGCAAATAGATGTTTGTGACATAACCTCAAAATAGAGCGCTGACACGGAGAAGTAGAACACTATGACAATCAAGGAGGCCATAAAGGCGCCCTACAATATTGTAGGGACGACTGACCATACGGGCCTACAATTAATGTTTGGGAACTAGATTCTTATTTGTTTTGGGCGTCTCTTATATCCGCCACGGATGGATTTTTGAGTTATTCTGTTTTTACTAATGATTGAGATTAGTATCCACCTTATTAAATATGTCAATATTTGTTTTTGAGGCAGACCTTTGCTTTCTTGAATGTTAGTAAAAGACGATGTAACTTTCAACCATATATTTACATAACAATATCACAATACAAAATGCCATCAACTGTTCAAAGATACGCGATCGGAGCGGCAGCAGCGACGTAAGGGGCCGCATAAGCGGCAGCGTATGGGGCGGTGTATGCTACAGCAGGGGCGGCCACAAGAGGGGCGGAGTATCCTCTGACGAAGGACTGGTGGCTGGTGGCGGTAACCACTGCGGCCGGGGCAGCAAGGAATCCGGGTTTTGCCTTTGGTTCTGGGTCAGCAGAGCAGCTGGAGATGGCCACGATGGCGAAGATCACAAACTAAAGAGGAACAAAAAATACTGTAGAAAAGACAAATAATATTCATAGTACATACGGATAGTAAAGGGCAATCTCGATCATATAGACTTAAATGTCGAAGACTGCGGAAAGAAAAAGGAACAAAAAATACTAAAATAAGATAATATTGATAGTAGGATACATAGTAAAGGTCAAACTCGATCATACAATTTTGGCTGAGCATCAGCGGTTTGTAGAATTTTTTCTCACTAAAATGTACGTGCAAAGCTTGCAAGTTCTACAGAACAGAACCTTGCGTAATATCACTAACAGCTCATGGCTCAAGTTTCCCCTAATCCTTCATATGAGACCTCGATATAGCTTACCGAAGGGATTACATCAAACAACAGGTGCAGTGATGTCAATATAGTCAAGCGGAATTGCACATCAACCCTTTGTTGCGGGAGAAAGTATAATACATAGTCTAGCAAGCACATAAGACCGCGTCCCGCACTGTGAACAAAATTGAAACGTGCAGTTTTATGTCAAAAACAAAACTACAATTTTTCCACGACAATCAATCTCTTACTTAACCTTTGAATCAATTTAATATTATCAAATAGAAGTTAACAATTCGAAGGCACTTCCACGACCGACGCAATTACTCCTACTTTCTCTCTCACTTCCTTAATGCTTTTCTTCTTCTCTTTTTTGTCCCTGACTTTGTCTGGTATCTGGGCAACTAGACCTGACAGACCTACTGTCCTACAAGACTTTTACCAAGAGCAGAGGTCCAACGAGACGAGATAATAATACCATCTGCAAAAATGTCAGACTGCGGAAGTGTACCTTAAAGGCAGAATTCCTGGTTACGCCTTGTAAAAATGGAATCAAGTAGATATGCTATACACCTGTTATTAAATTTCAAGTATCTGGAAACAATTACATAAAAGCTTCTATTGACTTCACTTGAAATAGGAAACCCAATGTGAAGAATGTATTGTTATTAGGCGTTATTGTTGAATATATAAATGAAAAATGATTTCTCAGTAGATCAAAAGTTAATAATCGGTTCATCCATGTGGGAGCTAAAATGGTGAAGACATACCTGTACGTAGGTACTCACAGTATACAAACATAGACCTATGGGGCTAAAAGAAGTCTATTCGACTTTCTTTGTTTTCTCCTAATTTATAATTGAGTCTAAATGCAATGCGATTATGCATGTAAATTTTTTTATGACTTACCAGTTTGCACATCATTTTGGAAAAGGTTTTGTTTTTGTATTTCGGTACAAGTTTAAAATGCGATATCAGTGAATGACTGACGACCATTATTTCCAATTTGTATTTATACGGTTGTGTATTTATCCCACTAAAAACACAAATCCAAGGACTTTTACAAAGATTTGGCCTACAAACAATTGCAGTTCTAATTGATATGCAGCGAGAATCCGACAAAGATGTTTTGATAATGAGAGTTACCTAATCCCACCTGTGTTTAGTCTACAAAACATACGGACCAAGGGTATTGATATAGTTGCAAGTATAATTTGGAATCAAAAACGTTTAGATTACTTCTCTTGATTTTTCAAGTCATGAAGATCTTGTGAAGATCTATAGGATGAAGTTGGGTAAATTGTACCTCTTATCACATTTCACGGGGGAGTGGGCAGCCATGCAAAACAAAATACAAATATATACTAAGTGACATATAAATCCGAACACCCAGTTTAAATGGTTTTATTTTAATAAAAGTTGGTGAATGTATTTATCTTACTGTAAATAACAAGTGAAAAAATGTTCAGCCTTATCAGTTGGACATTCCGGTTTTTATACTGCTTTTTTTTAATTCACTAACGCTCTAAAAATGAATACTCGTATTTCAGCCGCAGTAAAGAATCAACGTTGGCGGATTTTGGTTCTTGACATCCTTTACGATCGGTTACGATGCCTAGAGTACGGAGACCTGTACGATTTCGTCAACTTAGTGAGTTTGATAGGGGCCGTATAGTGGGACTTCGGGAAAGTGGACTTTCTTTTCGGGCAATTGCAGTTAGAGTGCAAAGAAGTGTAGACACTGTGGTTATGTGTTGTCAGGCATGGCTTCGAGAAGGCCGTACGCAAAGAGCAAGGGGCACTGGACGCCGCCGTAGAACAGACCGTGAAGATCGCGCCTATTGTCTTTAGTGACGAGTCTCGATTTTGTTTAGGCATGCACGATGGTCGTGTCAGGGTTAGAAGGCGACGTAGTGAAAGGAGGAATCCACAGTTTTTTGTTGAAAGACATGTTCATCACACTGTTGGAGTTATGGTTTGGGGTGCTATAGCTTATGGTCCAGGTCACCTTTAATCTTCATCAGAGGTAACATGAACGCGCAGCGTTATATCCACGAAGTTCTAGAACCCCATCTTTTACCCTATCTTGACACCCTGGCAGATCCAACTTTCCAACAAGATAATGCCCGACCACATGTTGCAAGAGTCACAATAGACTTCTTTCAACATAATGATGTCACATTGTTACCATAGCCACCAAGATCTCCCGACTTATCCCCAATTGAGCACGTGTGGGATATGATGGGTAGGAGATTGCTCAATTTGCAACGTCCTCCTCAGACTCTAGAAGCACTTCGAGAGGAGTTGGTGGTTGCCTGGAATGAGATACTACAGGAGGACATTAACCATCTGATCAGAAGCATGCCTAGGCCCGTTGGAGAATGCGTAGCACATCAGGGTGCATCCACACATTATTAAAGGTCAAAGGGTTTTAAAGCAGTGCAATCATTTTGAATTTTTTATCATTTACTTATTATGCTTATACAAAATTTAATTAAAATAAAACCATTTAAACTGGGTGTTCGGATTTATATGTCACTTAGTATAGAATGAAGTACGAAATGTGCGGTGCAAACGGAAGTGGAAGAACTTTTGAAGAATATGCCTGCAAGTATACGAAGAGAAAAAGATGTTTCCCAGCTAGGGGCTCTAAAAACTCTGTTAATCTTAAATTTTTTGATCAAAATAGACCAAAATAATTATGTGGATGATAAGTTTGACTTTCATGACTATTGTCCTAAATGGCCGCAACATAAAAAGATATTTAAATCTTAACTTGCGTCGCGATGGATGTACATGAATGACATTTTTGGTCTTACATTTCATATGTTGTTTCTTTCAAAATTTCGAAGTGACGGGCCCACAAAAGATATTGAAAAAAGTGTCATTTTGCCTCCAAAAAAAGCGGCAACTAGAATTCTTCTATATTTTCTCGATTGAGATGCACATAATTTCTCACCACGGACTTATCGAAAACCACTGAAAGGAAAAACGCCAAGACGTCACCCCCTTTCACCCTCTGCTCCCTAGTGCCATCCCCTTAAAATTTTTAAATGGCAAGGGGTATCGAGTAATAGCTTGTTTTTAAGGTCTTTCGAAGTTATTTCGACGTTTTATTTTTTTAAATCGGTCGATGCGTTTTCAAGAAAATTAGAAAAATCTTTATTTAACTTAATTTGTGCAGATAGACAACAAAAATCCACGAAAATATCACTTTTTATTTCAATAAGTGTTCAAAATGTTGGCCGTTATTCGTCAAACAATGATATAGGCGATGTTCAAATTATAACATATTGAGGAGGAGCGCCGTATTGCTGGAAATATATTTCAGCCTCATCAAGTATAGGGTTTCCATCCTCTTCGAGTTGGTTTTCAATGGTTTCAGTGATAAGAGGATTGATGGTATTAACCAACATATCCAAATATCCAAATAACTATCTCCATTCAAATTTCCATTAATAAAAAACGGCCCAATCAGTTTGTTTCCCAAAATGCCTGCCTATAAATTAATTTTTTGGGGGTACTGGGTATGCCCTTCTACAAAAGCATGAGGATTTTTATTGCTCCAATACATGCAGCTATGCTTATTAACAAATCGATTTAGATAAAATGTGCATTCATCACTGAAGCCGATATTCTTTACATAAATGGTATTGTCATTAATCGCTGCAGCTATTTGCTCACAAAACTCAACTCGCCTATCGAAATCATCTTTTGTTAACTCTTGCAATATTTTCATTTTGAATGGATGACATTTATGGAGCTTAGTAACTGTGTGTACAGAGGTTAATGTAATACCAGACGGGGCAACAATTTTGCGTAATTGAGTATTAGGATTTATTCCAAAGTGACCCAAAACTTTAACTTGAGCGGCTTAAAATTCTTAAGGGAATAACCCTGAGGAGGCGAGAGTGAAAGGGGTTGTAGTGGTTTTTGGTTAGAATGTTGTCCCCCTTGACAAATCTTTTGATGTGTCTCGGCGTTTGTTTCTCTTAATCACTGGTTTTTGATAAATTCGTGGTAGAAAGTTTTCAAATGAACACCCTATATATTGAAAGCACAAAACTATAGATCCATAGGTCAAATGACTATAGAATAACGCCAAAACATTTGCTTAAGGCAGACTGTCACGATACGAAATTTTGTGCTAAATTTTTTACGCTAATTTCGTACAAAATTAAGGATAGTGTCCGACGGCACTTAGTTCTTAATTTTCTATTAACAAATTGAGTGCCACATTTTTTAGAACCTGTTCTAAATAATTTCATGCTAAAAGTGGGCGGATGCCTACTGTGCATTTGGAGCGGTACATTGGCTGGTAGAAACGCTACGTGACACGGAATTTCATGTTTTGTACATCATATTGATGTTTTGTGATGATTAGATGAGATGATAATTGGCTGACAAGAACAAGCCCAACCTCAAGCACTTTCATCAGTTGCTGTGATCAGGTCATCAGTTTCGGAAACGCCTCCAGCTTATGTTGTATGCTGTTCTACTTGTAGATTGAAGACCTTAAAAGATGTTATGTTCAAAAGAGCAGTGTGACATACTACTAAACGAGTATGAGAAATATGATTGTTTATATGCTGTAAAAGGCAACGCCTATAAAAACAGAAGCGCCAAATAAGATGCGTTGTATCCTCCACAGCAGGTCCTTTATCCAGCAACTGGAGCACGTCCATTCCCCGGTCCTTCCCCCTGAACCATTTTCGACAATAAATTCTTTTAAGGTTCGTTTACTTCGTTTTTTGATGAGGTGGGCAGCTACAACGCAGATCGCTGGTCCCACAGTCGCATATACGTATACTATATGCGAATAGGGGTCGCTCCATCTTCTACAATTTTCTATTCGTTTAAAGTAATAAAGTAGCAAGCCTCAATAAGGAGTGTGGTTAGCACGATTTTGACATGATAAATGGCAGTTCGAAGTAGTTTTTTTACCGACTGCGCATGATTTTGTATGAAATTGATCACAATACTTCTTTCGTGACAGACAGGATTGTGATTTTTTATAAACAAATTGAGGACTGAATTCAGTAACGAATTTTCTCACAAAATTTGTTACCAAATTATGATCATAATTTTGTATCATGACAAACGGCCTTTAGGTTTCATTTCCCAGTTATTTTCACAGACAATTTGGCAATTCCACAACGACATCCTTGCATTCTTAAGGACTGCTCCCAGATGCGAAGTCCAGATTTTTCGCCTCTGTCGCAAACGATATGATTTCACCTCGGACTGTTGGAGGTCTAAACCCATCCAATTTTTTCTTTTTGGTGAAAGGTACTATGACCATTTTTTGTGTATTGATTGACATTACTTCCTCGACGCACCAGTCCAATATTCCGGTTAATACATCTAGGAGCGAAATATTTTTCTATGATTTCCGACAAGCGAATAATGGCAAACAGGTCGCCTACCAGGAGATACCACAGGGCGAGCGGGGGGGGGGGGGGTCATCTAACGTTTTGTAATATAGGTACATGTTCATAGCTAACACCTATTTTGTCAGAAGGTCTAACCTGTACCGAACATAATTCTTTACGAATACAGCGTTGCATAGGAAGTACAGTTAACTTACTTGACGCCATTTTTTTAAAACTATTTAAACATTTTGATAATAAAAATCGGCATATCAAATTATCAAACAAGATTCATGGCAGTCGTATGTACGACTTTCATGATATGATATTATTTCATAAATTGTATATTAAATAGTCATAAAGAAGAAAGAAATATCATTTTGCCCCTAAAAAACCATATTATTTGTGCACATTTGAGTAAATATACAATTGTTTTTATGTTGTTCGTTTGTAGAGTGAAAACAATACAAGTTTTATAGATATTTTTAGACTAGAAATGATGAATTGAAAAAATAATACAGAAAACATTGTTAAGCCGTTAAAGAACTTCAAAATAACATAGAAAGAAAGTATGTACTATTATATATCACCTTTGCAGCGAGAA